TCGTCGTCGTCGTCGTCGTCGTCGTCGTCGTCGTCGTCGTCGTCGTCGTCGTCGTAGTAGCAATCGTAATTGTAGTAAAAATATTCTTGGTGATGGTAATGATACTAGTGGGTTGTCCAGGTCCTGTTCAACTCTCACTGCTGCAGAATAATTATTGTTGATGTTCCCTCTGGGGCACATTGCGTTCTTCGATCTAAGTGCCCTTCCCTGGGCCCGCGCCCGGTGTTTTGTAAGAGGAAGTTCTGGGTCCCAGAATTGCACTTTTGGTGTCCGAACTACAACAACAACAACAACAACGGCTCCCGCCTAATACTTCCTCACAATTCATTCCAAAATCGAGCCCTCGCGCGGGATTTCCTCATAATCTATACCGGAATCGCGCCCTCGCGTGGCACTTCCTCGCAGCCTTTTCAAGCGCCGCGCCCTCGACATCCAGAAATCACGCTTTCGCTCCAGCCTCTCTCGCGATTTACTTGGAAATCGCGCTATCGCTAAACACTTCCTCGCCATTCATCCAGGACGCACGCTTCAGCAACCCGCCTGCTCGACCTGGCCGCCTGGGCCCGCCTTCCCGACACGCCCACTAGGGCCGGTCAGATACGACTCCCCTCCGGGCGGTTCGGGAGCCCAGACAATCCCCAAGACGTAGCAAAAGTGTCCTGAGAGGCCCCCAAGAATGTCGAGGGACCCGAATCGCCGAAGTATCGGTCCAAGTCGCGATAGCCTCCAGACAGCTTCGGAAGTCCCCACTCCAAGGGCACTCCCAAGAGGGACCCAAGGAGCAACAATCACAGATTTCCCTTAAGGCATTCTCGCCTTGTCAGCTTCCCGACGCTCCAAGACAGGCCAAGACGCCCCCAAGACCGCCCCAATATCGCCCAAGAGGCCTCCAAGAGAGCCCCAAAACGACCAAAGAGGGCCCCAAGACCGACCAAGAGGCCTCCAAGACAGCCGAAGAGGCTCCCAAGACGGCTCCAAGGAGGAACCCAGACGGGGAGCCGAACGGACATTTCGAGCCCTCGGCCTGAGAAGCTCTCAGGAGGCCTCCAGAGGTCCCTAAGAAGCCCCGCAAGAAGCCCCAAGAAGCCCCCAAGAGACCCCCAGAGACCCCAAGAGGCCCCCACGAGGCTTCCAAGCGACCCCCCAGAGCTTCCCAAGAGGCCCCCCAAACTACCTCGAAGAGGCCCCCGAGAGCGCTCGTCGTCGTCGTCGTCGTCGCCATTCAGGGTCGGCGGCACTGGCCGCAAGGCATTCGCAATAGTAGGAGGGGGGCTAGGAGCAGAAAACACGTGGCAGAACCAGACGGGCAGATCGGGCGGGTAGACCCTAACGTGCGGGTCGGAAAGGCGGGCCCAGGCGGCCAGGTCGAGCAGGCGGGTTGCTGAAGCGTGCGCCTTGCGTTAATCGCAAGGAGTCGATTTGGAAATACATTGTGAGGACGTATCAGGCGGCAACCGTTGTTGCTGTTGTTTGTAAGCAGGTGGCCAGGGGCGCCTTTTGGTGACACCTCACTTTTCGTTTTCAAAAAAAAATAAGGTGCGAGCCCTGGTAGAAACACCTTAATACTTTAATTGGAAGTACAATGTATACCGGGGAAGAGGGGGTCAACAACAACTACTCTTTCAAAGAAAGAGAGAGAGAGTATGGCAACACAAACAACCACAACAACAGCAACAACAGCAGCAACAACAACTACACCACCACCACCACCAACAACAACAACACCACCACCACCAACAACAACAACAATCACAACCAACAACAACCACAACAGCAACAACAGCAACAACAACAACAACCACAACAACAATCCACACCAAGGAAGCCCACTTCAGCCACGCACCGAGGGACAGTGAATGACCGTTCGGTCCCCTCACTCTGATGCAGTTCCCCCTGCTGCTGCCCCTCCCCATCTCCATGCTATCCGACAGCCAAGGTCTGGGAGCTGAGGAGGGAGGAAGCGGGGAAGCGGGGCAAGGGGGAGGGAGGGCAAGAGCCGTCTCGCGGTCTCTTGGGCCGACTTGTGGACCTCGTGGGCTTTCTCGGAGCGATCTTTGGAGCCTTTTGGGCCGTCTTGGGCGTTCGGACGTGAAAAAACTGAGAACGCGATCAGGAAATGTTATAAGCAGACACTGATGCTTGACTCTTGGGGTCCTCTTCGGCAGTCTTGAAGGCCTCCTGGACCGTCTCGAGGCCATCTCGGGCTCTGGCGAGGCCCTTGGGGAAGGAACCGCCACTTACCTGCCTCTGGGTGCCCCTTGAGATTCTGCGGCCCCAGGGTCCCTGTGCCCAAACATCCGATATCTTGATCTTCTCCATGCGGGGTGTCCCGAACCGTTCCCCCGGGCCAGCTTTCTCATCCCGAGCCATCTCTTCACAGTGCCGAGGTCCGACGAGGGCCCCCCGATGCCGAAACCGGCCACAAAAACTCATGACGTGAGATTTTCCACCACGCGAGCGCGTCTGGTTCCCCGGCTCACGAGCGCTTTCCGCGGCGAGCTCCTCGCTGTTGATCTTGGCGCCCGCCGCGGGGCCGGCCGCGAGGGGGGCGGCTCCGGGCAGCGCGGTGGGGCCGTCCGCCACGAAGGCCGAGGCGCCCGCGTGGGGGATCGCGTGCGTGTCCGGGCAGAGGAACGCGAGCTGCCCGCGCGGCATCGCCCACGCCCGGCCTATACCAGAGGGGGCGCTGGCCCCGGATCGCCCGGCGATAGGATTCTTGCTCCATCTGGGCGTCGTTCCGCGCTGCTTCGGCCTCCGGGGCCGAAGCATCGGGCCACGCAGCAGGCACGCATGGAGGCCGTGCACGCCGGAGGTGCGTTGGCCACTCGGGCCGCACAGGGCCGTCGACAAGGGATCCAGGGACTCCCCCCCAGGGCAGGGGGCGAGAGTTCTGGAGCCGCGGGCGGAAAAAATCAAATCGGCGGATGTCGGGGGCCGCGGCTCTCTTCTGCACAGAAGTCTCCGGCCGCGCTGTGCGGAATCTCGAGCCCCAAATCAAGGCGGAAGCAGAGCGAAGAGGAATCCGGATGAAGAAAGCTCGGGCATCTGTGAGAGCTGGACGGTCTGGAAACTCTATCGGACGCCGCGGCCTCTTAAGAGCGCTCTAGAACGCTCCGAGAGCATTTTGCAACGTGCTGTGGCGGTTTATCTTCATCCCAGGCTTCTGCGACAGATGATGGCAAAAGGATAGGGATATATAAGGATGAGGAGGCCAAACGCATCAGAAGACGAAGAATAATAAGACGAAGAAGATGCAGAAACCTTGGCGACCACCACTATCGCCAAACGGCTGAGCCGTGGCTGCAGATGACATCGCTCGCCATTCGGGCAGCACGCGCTGTTCCGGGATGATCGGCACGCCCGCAGGAGAAGGACAAACACTGATACCGATGCCAAAATTGCAGGGGGTGTGGACAAGCGAAGGAGCCCGCGCAAAGCCGGTGCGCACCCGAGATGATGCGAACATATAGATGCCTGCGTGGGCCGCTGCCCATCGGAAGTCGAACTGCCAAACTGGGGGGGCCCCTTGGGAAGAGATAGAAGGGATGAAGGAGGAGGGATGTCATGAGAGGGTTAAGCAGCAGCAGCAGCAGCAGCAACAGCACAGCGCTGGATCCTGCTGGCTCTACTGGGTGGACAAGACCTCGGGCCTCTTCATGGGCCGTGCTTCCTCTTCTCTCCCCCTTGAGAAGGGGAGAGCTCCTCCTCCACCTCCTCTTCCTGCATTCTGTTCCGCCTTCTCCCTTTCCCCCTCTTACTACGGCGTACCCTTCTCATCATCAATGTTGACTAGGTTGGCCCGGACTCGAGGGCTTCTCATGTGCCCTGCTTATTCGCCCCACTCCCCTCCCCTCACCACCTACTCCCACGCGTCATGAACATCTTCTGCTTGCCTTGTCCCTCCCCCATTTCCACTTCCTCCTCCTCCTCCTACTCCTGATCCTTTCCTGTTGTAATCATCCTGGTTGCCCTCCTGCTACGTGTTCGATCCCCTTCGCCTTATCCTTGTCCCTCTCTCCCCTATACTCGCCGTGCTCCTCCTGCTCCTTCTCCCACCCCACCCTCCTACTCCTTCTCCTACCAATTCTGCTCCTCCCCCTCCCCTACCTGCCTCCTTCCAAAGGCCCCCGAATCAACCTCCCGAAATAAATGAAAACCATCTCCATTCTCCCCAATCCGCCTTCTCCCTGCCCCTTTTCCTTCTCCTCCTGCTCCTCCTCCTCCTCCTGCTCCTCCTCGTCCTCCTCCTCCTCCTCCTCCTCCTCCTCCTCCTCCTCTCCTCCTCCTCCTCCTCCTCCTCCTCCTCCTCCTCCTCCCCCCTCCTCCTCCTCCTCCTCCTCCTCCTCCTCCTCCCCCTCCTCCTCCCCTCCCCCTTCTCCTTCTCCTCCTCCCCACCTCTCTCATTATCCCCCTCATCCCAGTTCCTCTCCCTCTCCTCCTCTTTCTCCTGCTTCGTTTTTTGCTACCCTGACTTTGATCGAAGCGATCGCCGCGTCTGACCGTTCGTGCTGATATAGACACGCGTGGGCACAGCACAATACACGAGCAGCGCGTGCACAACAGGAACTAGACGGGCAAATCACGGCGGGGAGGTGGAGACGCACTCTAGGGCATCGAGATGTCCACGGCGGCAAGGTTTCCCAACTTCCCCTCCTCCTCCTCCTCCTCCTCCTCCTCCTCCTCCTCCTCCTCCTCCTCCTCCTCCTCCTCCTCCCCCGCCTTACGGCAACGACGACGACGCCGACGACGCCGACGCCGATGACCGCGACGAGGACGGCGCCGACGCGGCCACGACGACGATGCCGACGGTGCCGGTAACGGCGGCGGCGCCGCCGAGGCGGGCGGCGGCGACGAGGCCGAGCGGGGGGCCGCTGGCGGCGAACGCCAGGGCGCAGTTCGCGGCGTCCGCGGCCCCGAGCTCGCCGCCCCTCGCCCGCGCCGCGGAGGCGAGCGCCTCCCAGAACCGCTCCCTGTCCTGGCAGGGGGGAAGAGGGGAATGATGAGGAGGGCCTCCTCGGCCTTCTCGCCCCGAGATGGATCAGGTCGAAGCTCCTGCCTGCCCCTCCTGCAACCTCGATGCCAGGCTCGGCCGCGTCCCGCTGGTCATGGTGGTCCCGGTGAACCTGGGCTTCGCCCGCCCGCGAGTGCTTGCGCTACGGGCCAAGGTGGCCCGACAGCATGTCACATAAACGGAGGGGGAGGAGGAGGCGGGACATCTGCCTCGCCCCCCTCCGTCGGGGGGACTTGCCTTGCCCTTGGGGAGGTTTGGGGGTGCCTTCGTTAACTCCCGCAATTAAGCGCATGATAGCTTAACTTGAATATTTTGGCGTGGGCTCAACGTTTTAAGCCCCAAGCAACGAGCGAGCGAGAAAAAGGAGGCGATTCCTCCTACTACGTCTCCTCGCCTCTTCCCCCCCCTGCCAGGACAAGAGGACGAGCACGAGGACGAGGAAGAGGTGGAGGATTTCGGTGTTGGCGCTCCTCCTGCTCCTCCACCGCTCATTTCCCTTGCGATTCACACCTCCGTTCCGCAACCCCAGACGTGTCGGTCTGGCGGGCCCCGCGTTTCGTCTGAGAATTCCTCACCGAGTACGGCCCTGAAGCTTTACAGGTGCCATGTCTGGCGGGGATGGAAGAGGGCTCGCGCCAGCGCCGAGCACAGCCGCAAAACTTTACACATAACGCTCAGCCATGTAGGGCAGGTGCTTTTTCATGTTTTTCCGAAGCGGGACACTCGCCTCAGTGCCGCGCACATGCGTCTCAAAGGTTTCAGCATATTGAATGGTGGCGGCGATGCTTTTCAAACTGGGGCTCCCGCCTTGGCGCCGCGCACAGGTGTCCTAAACACCGCCAGCGTGCAAAACGATGGAAGGCGGCCATCTCGGACATCGGGCTCACGCCTCCGCGCGGCGCGCACTCCCTGGAACAGTCGGAACACTGCACGCATCGCATCGCTGCGGCTGTTGCCGACCATTTGGAGGGGACGGGGGCAGGGGGAGGAGGAGGAGGAGGAGGAGGAGGAGGAGGAGGAGGAGGAGGAGGAGGAGGAGGAGGAGGAGAGGAGGAGGAGGAGGAGAGAGGAGAGGAGGAGGAGGAGGAGGAGGGCGCAGGAGGAGGAGGAGGAGGAGGAGGGAGGAGGAGGAGGAGGAGGAGGAGGAGGAGGAGGAGGAGGAGGAGCCGCCTTGGCGCCGCGCGCAGCAGTGTCCTACCAGCTTGCGGCAGCTTCTTAGGATGGAGGGCGGAGGGTTCCGAAGGCGGGGGCAGGAGGAGGAGAGGAGGAGGAGGAGGAGGAGGAGGAGGAGGGGAGGCAGCAGCAGCGTCCTACCAGCTTGCGGCAGCTTCTAGGGAGGCGGACGGTTCCCGAAGGCGGGGGAGGAGGAGAGAGGAGGAGGAGGAGGAGGAGGAGGAGGAGGAGGAGGGCGGGGGAGAGGAGGAGGAGGAGGAGGAGGAGGAGGAGGAGGAGGAGGAGGAGGAGGAGGAGGAGGAGGAGGAGGAGGAGGAGGAGGACCCCCTCCCCCTCCAACTTATGGTGGTGGTGGTGGTGGAAAACAGGCCCATCATCATTCTCCTCACCCTCAATCCTCCATCTCGTTTTGACTTGCCTTCACCGTTTTTGTAGTCTTGAAGTTTGAAGAGTGCAACGGTTTCAAAGGTGAGACACCGTCTTTTGCTGGTTTGATGTTGACACCTCCTTCTCCTCCTCCACCTCCTCTGAAGCGCTTGCCCGGCGGACGGGGAAGGACGGCGGCTCGGTCTCGCTTCAGACTTGTGGAAAGACGGCATCGTATTCCTGGGCACGCGAACCCATCGGTCGGCAGCAATGGGTAGAAACATGAAGCAGGAAGGCGTTGAAAGTAGATTGGGTTTTCGCCCGCCCCCAAACGATGAGGGGGAAATACGCTCTTTGATTGAAGTAGGAGGGCGCCTAAAGTAGATTGGAACCTGGGAGTTCAAAAGTGTACGTACTTTCAACGACGGATGGGTAACACTTGGGCGGATGGAAGGCGGTTTCTTTTCAAACATGGGGTCTCCGTTTGAGAGTTCACCAGGGCCCATGACCAGGACTGCAAACGTCTGCACTCTCTACACGGGTGGGGGGGTGGACCAGACGGGGATCGCGCTGGACACCCTGTTGAACTGTCTGATCGGGCTTTTTCGCATTCCGTACTGCTCGAAAAAGGGATGCACTGCAGTTCCTTCTCAAAGCAGCGTTTTTACCCGAACGCATGGCAAGCCCGCAGTGTGCTGGTAGTTCAAGGGTGCGCTTTTTGCAGCGATGCCCATGGCTTGTAGGGCCTATGAAGAGGGAGCTTGGGACATGAGGGTGTCTTGCAGCATGGCTGACGCGTATTGGATTCACTCTGGACCTCCTCCCCCTCCTCCTCCTCCTTCTCTTCCTCCGCTCCATCCCCTGCCAGGACAAGAGGAAGGACGTAGAGGTGGAGACATTCGGTACTGGCGCTCCTCCTACGATTTGTCCACTGCCAGCACACGAGGTGGACTAGCGGCACAGCAAAAGGGGATGGTCGGGACAAAGGACTGGCGCCTCTGTCGACATAGCACTGCTCCGATGGCGAGGCGCCCCCCCCCCCCGTTTGTTTGATGTGCTACAGGGTTGCGGCAAACTCGCCCGCGATGGGCGGCCCCGCGTGGATAGAGGGCGGCCCCTGGGCCGATGCGTGGGGGCGGGGGCGGCCCCCAGCCGGCGAGGCGCTTGGCCACCCGCGGCTGCTCTGGTTCCGGGCGCCTCCCCAGCGGGGGTGCCGACGCGTGGCGCCCCCACCCAGCCGGGGCCGCGCGCTGCTGCGTCGCCTCTGCTGCTCCGGCGTCGCTCGCTGCGCTGGCGACCTCGCCAATTGGGTGGCCGCGGGGCAAAGGGAAGCCCACGGGCGCCTCCAGCCGTTGCCAGCAAAGTGGGCCACGAGGCAGCAGTGCCTCGCTGGCGGGCGCGCGGGAGCGGACCGCTCCTCCGCGCCTCCCGCGGACACAGGGAACAAAAGCAAGTCAATCGCGTTGATGCCGCGCTCGCTTGCCAACTCGCTCGGTATGCGGGAAGGGGGGCGAAGTCGTCGCGCACTTTCTCCAAGGAGGCGCTGGGCGCGCGGTGCCGCCCCGCCCCGCCGCCAACCCCCTTGCACCCTGGCCGAGCCCAGCCCAAAGCTGGGGCAGATGCGACAGTTCCGTGCTCTGGAGATTCTCTCGCGGCGGGGCGGTGGCCGGCCGTGTAGTAAAACTTCGGCGCGCAGTGGAGGGGGGACAGGAGGGCTGAAGGGTCGAGGGATCGCGGCTTGCGGGCGTCTTCAGGCCTTTGGGCCTTGGGACGCACTCTCGATGCCACAACTGTATTCCTATCAAAGCCCTGGCCAGGACGCACCCAAAGACAAGTCCAGGTGTCGTCGTCGCCATAGGATGAGGAGTGGGATTGCACGACCAGGCCACCATCATGACTGGTTCGCGACTTTTAATGCGGATCCCTGCGCTTCAAGCTTCGGGGCTTGTTCAAAGAAGACGCGCTTCGCCCCTAGACGGCTGCGGGTTCGAAGGCAGCATTTGGGTTCGAAGTTCGAGGCCCAGGATTTGCTGTGCGATGTTCGCCCTTCACGGGCCTTCCGGGGGAGCGCACCACTGTCGCGGACGGACCCCCCTCGAAAAAGCTGGCCGAAGCGCGTCCCTGGAGAGGCCTGGGGGGCAGATCCTTGAGATTAGCAGTGGCACTGGCCGGGGTGAGCTGGGCTAGCGAGGGGGCCCGGCAGGGAAGAACTGGCTCGGGCGGGGAAGCATCGAGCCGGAATCGGCGATACACATCGCCGATAGCTCGGCGATGGGCCCCGGTGGCGAACCCGCACGATCCTGGGCGGGGGGGGGATCAGGCCACTGTCCGCGACGATTGGGGACAAATGGGGGTCAGATGCATTGCCCCCTGAGCCTATCCCCACCCTCGCGTTGCCTCTGGTCCGAGAATGGCTCTCGGGCCGTGCACACAACTCGGGCCTCAGGAGGCCGCTCGGGACGAGCTGGGCACCCCCGGAACGCCGTCGGCGAAGAGCGCAGCCGCTGGAACGCACCCAGAGGCCGGAAAGCCGCCGGGAGCTCATGAAAATGCCGGACAGCCTCGAGCGGCTCGAGCCCGAACCCCGAGGGAGCCCGGGTTCGGGCTCGAGTCGAGGGTTCGAGTCGAGCCCGAACCCCGAACCCCGAAGTCGGGGTTCGGGGCTCGGGAAATGACTTCGGGGTTCGGGGTTCGGGCTCGAGTCGAGCCCGAACCCCGGACCCCGAAGTCGTCATCGCTCTCTCCCGCAGCCCCCCCTGGCGTGCGGGGGCGCTCTGGTCGGGGCGCCCTCGCCAGGGCGCGCTAATTAGGGAGCCCCACGGCGGGCCGGCCGGCGGGCTGCCCGCGGCTCACGCGGGGAGCGCCCTAGGCCCCGCGGGCCCGTCTCCCAGGCAGAGGGGCGCCGCGGGGGTCGATGCGCTCCCCCCTCACCACATACCCCCCCCCCGAACGTTGCCCCTGACGATCGTGAGGTATCGCTGCGCGCTCCCGCGGGCACGCTGCCGAGACAGCGCCCGCGGCACGGCCAGACGGACGGGGCCCGACGCTCGAGATCGCGACGCCGGCACCGTGCCTCCCAACCTTGCCCGCGCCGTGGAAAATGTCACTACGGGGGATTCGTTGCCGTCTTCGGATTCTGGAGAACCTCGCTGGCCCCGGGACCGTCAAAAAACTGCTCGGGATGAAAAGACGGCACTGGGCCTTGGGGAAGCGGCCATGGCTTCCAAGATGCCCGCATTGAAGAATTAGCCCGGCGAAAGGCCCAACCATATGCAGTTATGAACACCGTCGTTGTATGCACCGCATTGGGAGGAGGAGAAGCTCCCTCTAAGACCACGAAACGTGCAAGGGGTGTGTTAAAATGGGTGCGGTGGGCGCATGCGAACGCAGCCACGGGAGCCGCCAGTGGAACTCCTATATAGAGCCACGAAGCGTCTGAGGGTATTTAGAATGGGTGCGGTGGGCGCATGCGAACGCAGCCACTGGGGCCGCCAATGGAGCTCCCATGGGGCCGCGAAGCGTGTGAGGGTGTGCCAACATGTTTGCGGTGGGCGCATGCGAACGCAGCCGCTGGGGCCGTCGGTGGGCCTCCATATGGGGCCACGAAACGCGTGAGGAGTGTGCCTAAGCGGGTGTGGTGGGCGCATGCGAACGCAACCACTGGGGCCACCGGTGGAGCTCCCTATGGGGCCGCGAAGCGTGTGCGGGTATGCCAAAAGGGGTCGGTGGGCGCATGCGAACCCAGCAACTGGGGCCGTCGGTGAGGCTCCCTATAAGGCCACGAAACGTGTGGGGAGTGTGCCTGGATGGGTGCAGTGGGCGAATGCGAATACAGCCGCTGGGGCCGTCGGGGGAACTCCCTATGGGTCCTTGTGTGAGGGGTGTGCCGGAATTGATGCGGTGGGCGCATGCGAACGCAGCCACTGGGGGCCGTCGGTGGAGCTTCGTATGGGGCCACGAAGCGCGTGGGGTGTGCCAACATGTTTGCGGTGGGCGCATGCGAACGCAACCATTGGGGCCGCTGGTGGAGCTCCCATAGAGTACGAAACCAAAATGGCGCGGCGGGCGCAACCGAACGCAGCCACTGGGGCTGTCGGTGGAGCTCCCTATGGGGCCGCGAAGCGTGTGACGGTGTGCCAAAACTAGTGCGGTGGGCGCATGCGAACGCAGCCGCTGGGGCTGTCGGTTGAGCTCCCTAAAAGGCCACGGAACGTGTGAAGGGTGAGCCAACATGCGTGCGGTGAACGCATGCGAACGCAGCCACTGTAGCACTGGGGCCGTCGGTGGAGCTCCCTAAGGGGACGCGAAGCGTTTGAAGGGTGTGTCAAAATCGGTGCGGTAAGCGCATGCGAACGCAGCCATTGGGGCCGTCAGTGGAGCTCCGAAACATGCAACATGGGTGCGGTGGGCGCAAGCGAACGCTGGCATCTGGGCCGTCGGTGGAGCTCCCTATGGGGCCACGAAGCGCTGTCTCTTCAAACCGATTACCCAACACCACAGGATGGTTCGGAAGTGCAGACATCGAATGTCTGGGCTCTGATCTGTCGACGACGCACAAATTACGGGGACGTAGCCATGCAAGGTCACCTGCCCAGGAGCTCGCGTCACTGCCCTGGATGCTTTCTTCAAAGGCCCTGGCCTCAACCTCAGATATGATCTATACTTCGCGTGCCCGGTAGATCTCCGATTGTCGGGGGGAACCCGAGCAAGTGCCCCGCAAGCTGAAGCTCGGCAGAAACTCGCGCCATCGCCTCGTCAAAACGCCGTCTTGGACCCGCGCTTGACACATCGCCTCGAGCTCATGCCGCAGAGCGCCGTTTCAAACCAGGGGTGCCCACGAAGACTTCGACGGAGCGCGGCTATGACCCATGCCTTCGGCCACCACCCATGACGCCAGTCTCTCGACTCCATCCTCCGACGTCGTGTTTTTTTGTTTTTCTCTCTCTCTCTCTCTCGACCCCATCCCCAGAACCAATTATCCCTCGCAGGCCGACATTACCACGGGACCACCAAAGGCCCCCAAACTTTGGAGGCAAGTGCCGCAAAGCCGCATCTCCGCGACGCCGGGAGTCCAGGCGTAGGGCGAGTTGAGACAACGGCAGCCCAAGAACGGTCCCAATTCCCCTCCCAGGGCCCAAAATCATCAGTCTTCCGAGCTGCGCCCAGCCGTGGCGACGAGAGGATCCACCGAAGTCCAACTAAATATTGCTTCCTTTTCGGCCATAATTCGCCTGGCCGATGGTCTACACTTGTTGATTGGAGAAACCCCACGTATGCCCGCGCGCACCAATGCATTGAATACTGCGTGCCCCTTCGGACCTGCTCGACCGAGAAGGCCAGGTCCGGGGGCGACGGTCGGCGGTGGACAAACCTCCCTTTAGTAAACCTCCCCTTAGTGAAAACGGCCTGGGACCGAAACCGACGGACTTGGACCCGCAAAAATGACGGCCGCGGCGCCCTCTCGCGAATCGAAAACGGTCGATTCGCTAATCGACGTGCCAGGATAGGAGGTCTATCCACCCCCGAGACGGGAAAGGGGGCGGGCGGGCCCCACAATCCGGGCCATCGCCGGACCCTCCTCGAAACGCCACCAGGGCAACAGGGCTGCTGGCTGCCACTCGGCTCTGACCCGGCGCTGGGCGCGCGGACTCCTCGCCGTCGCCGGCGGCGCCGCCGCCGCCCAGCGGCCACATCTCCCCGAAGGCCACCGCCAGCATGCTGAGTTGGCTGGGGGCGAACGCCTCCACGGGACGCAGAAGGGCATGCGAGTACCATGTGCTGATGTGGGAGGCACACGTCCGACACGAGCCCATAGCGCACGAGTCTTAGAATTGGGTCGGCTCCCGAGCGGGCACGGCCAGAGAGCGCCCGCCGCGAAGCTTCTGCCACGAGATCTCTGAGCGCGCGCGCGCGTCGCTCCTGCGGGGCCGACGCACGTTTGACCGGCAGCGCCGGCGGTCGCAGTCGCGGGGCTCGCTGCCGGCGGGGGCGGACTCCAGGGCGGCAGCCGAGGGGGGCGGCGCTCGCTCGGGCGCGCACTCCCCCGGCGCGCGCCTAGGCGGCAGCGGCCCGCCGGCGGTCCCGCGGCCTCCGCGGGCTCACGCCGGGGCGGCCCAGCTGGGGGCTCTCGGAGGTCCATAGGCCGAGAGCGCCTGCTGACCGGCCTGATGGGGGAGCCGAGGAACGAGCTTGCTCGATGCGTCGGGGTCTCTTTGGGCCTCCAGCGGCGTGCGTCCCCGGCGCCACGGATGGAGTCCTCTCGGCATCCTCGCTACAGGATGCTCCAGGACAGGTCCAGGAGTGGAGGTCAAGAAGGAGGCGAGGGAATGGGGGTAATTGTGTGGAAGGCGACAGAGGCCGTGCCACCTGGATGTGTTCGTGGCCTGCATGGCCAGCTCGATCTTGAGCTCAACAATTAGAACATCGCCTAGCGGGCACATGCAACATTGACCTGCCATATGAGATGTTGCGAAGGATGCGCGTGTGAACAAGTGCATTGAGGCACTCTGTTGCCGTAGCCACAGAGCCGTGATCAGACACAAATGACCAGCCCGAAATCAGAAACAACATGAACGGCCCGCAGCCCAGGCAAAGGCTGTAACAAGCAATGTTGGACGCAACGGTGCAACAGACACTGCGGCCACATGTTCAAGGACGTGAGTATCACACGGAATGTTGGCCAGCGTGGGGCCAAACCAGTGAGTACTTGCACTCTCGATGTGCGATTTACTAGTAGGATGCGCAAAACTATGGGATGCATCTTGCTACATCTGTGAACGCGGTGGATGCCTGGGGATGAAGCCGATGTGGAGACATCTAGGTCGTGTGAGTTCTGGGTTGTGGCACGTTCTACTCGGTGTAAGGGCAATATGTACAATACAATCGATGGGGTGCAGTGACGTTTGCCAGCACTGGAACTCGGACTCGGACTCGGCTCTGCGCGTGTGGCGCCATGAAGGTGCGGCGGAGGGGGCGCCGAGGCGCCTGCATGGAAGAAGTCGGCAGAACAACATTCACAGGTACAAATTATGCATGAGAGGCTGTGAGCAGCCCGCTCAGAATGCCACGGGATGTCCCGGCCGCGTGGCCGATACGCCTTTGGCCCACGGAGGAAATAGAACGCAGAAGCCATGGACAGAGAAGGTCTCGGCCGCGCGGGCGGCGGATTCATACATACATCTAGGCCTATGGACCATTGTACATGTAATCAGTCACCTCTGGGCGAGTTAACGAGATTGTCCCCAGCGGGCCGGTCCTGCCGATGTACACAACCTGCTATTCCACTTCATGGGATACATCTTCCGGTCAAGTGACGAACCACTGGAGTTCCTAAACACGACTTTGCACGCTCTACGCTAAAACCTGAATTACTTACGCACCCAAGTGGCGGATAGTCTCCGCGCAGTGATGTCTGCGAGTCGCCGCTCGTGCAAGTTGCTGCAGGCATGCACGCGCAACATGTCACAGAGGGGGAATCGTCGACGATGCCGTCCAACCGGCTGGCACCAGTACTGGAACTGCCAGTTTCAATGCGCGAGCAGGCATCGCGCCCACCCGTCCGCAACTAGATGGCAAAACTATTCAGCGAGCGCGATGACGTGAAGACCCTTCTCATGCAGATCCATGACTCGGGTGGCGAAAGATGATGGTGACCAAGCCGGTGACGGCGATGATAATAGTGACGCTGATGACGAGGGTGATGACAACGACTACGTCAGTGATGCTGACGACCCAACGCCAAATCCGCAACATAAGCTGTCCTGCGTTCTTGTATTTCTTCTGTGACGCTGGAGGCCCGGGCCCTGGCCCCCCTTTGGCACGCCTGGAAGGGGACCATATCTGTAGTTACGATGCCCGGCAACCGAAGCTCTCCCTAAACGGAACCGCTGTCGGGTAAGCGGCTCTTTGTCTCGAGTGGACGGCGTCCACGGCGACACCCGCGGCGGGTCCGCTTCAACATGAGCAGGAACTGCTGTTGACTACCTACCAGATCACCCCAACCCAACCCGAAGACCTGAATTTCGGGTTGGGGAGGGGGGGGGACGGGCTTCATATGTGCTTTTTAATGTTCCCTGAACCCCCCACACTGGAAGTGGAGGGCAAATCGGGGCCTTCGGGTTGGGTTGGGGTGGTTTGGTGGGCGGTGAGCTGTCGGTCTGACCCCGCTCTTTCTGGGCCACTCCCGATCGTGCGACTTCCCGTGAAGATCGATCCCCCGAGACCCGGGAGTCACGATTGGGCCATTCTCGCTCGCGCGACTTCCTGTGCAAATCGACCCCGAGACCCCAGGCGTCCCGCTTGGGCTATTCTCGACCATGCGACGTCTTGCGCAAATCGACCTTGAGATCCGGGCGTCGCGAATGGGCCATTCTCGATCGTGCGACTTCCTGTGCAGATCGACCCCCCGAGACCCCGGGCGGCGTCCCGCTTGGGCCATTCTCGATCGTGCGACTTCCTGTGCAGATCGACCCCCCGAGACCCGGGGCGTCGCGCGAGGGCCATTCTCGATCGTGCGACTTCCTGTGCAGATCGACCCCCCGAGGCCGAGGGCGTCGCGCGAAGGCCCTTCTCGATCGCGCGACTTCCTGTGGAGATCGGCCCCCCGAGACCCCGGGGCGGGGCGTCGCGCTCGTTTTGTGCTCACGCCCGGCCTGCTGTTCGCCCAGCACCTCGGGCCGCCTCGGGGGCTTTCGCGGACATCGAATCTGGCTCGAGCATGCACGACGCGGGAAGAGATTGCGAGATTTCTTCTGGGCCCCTGGCGGCGTTCAACCTTGAACTTCCGCGGCGGGGTCGCGGCGGGTCGACTCGACGCGAACCCACCGCACCTGCGTGGACTTGGCGGGGGGGGGGCTGAACCTGAAAAGCGAGCCGCACACGACTTGCCAGCGAGCGACAACCGCCCACGTCGACAGGCCCTCTTGCACGCTGGTGCTCCCCCGAAGAGGTGCGAGAGGGGCGGGAGAGAGGGGGGGTGGAGAGGGGGGGTTGGAGAGGGGGGGTGGGGTGGAGAGGGGGGGGGGGTGGAGAGGGGTGTGTGTGGAGAGGGGAGGGGTGGAGATGGGGGGGGAGTGGAGAGGGGGGGAGGGGGTGGGGGGCGAACGCCCTGCAGGCAGACGTGCCCGCGTCTTGAGACAACAAAGCTCTGGCCCGGCCGGGGGGGGGGGGGACCGACGGGCGAGCACCGATATATACCGCCAGATGCTCCCCTATGACCTCTCCTTCTCCCCCAGGGTTTGCATGCCGCCCAGGAGCTCGGAGGGGGGACTCCGGCCGTGGCGAAGAGCGGGAGCTCTCCCCGGGGGCGAGCGGCATCGGCATCGGCACCCCTCCGAAAAGGGTGCGCTGTCCTGGCCTGCTCCATGCTCACCAGCCTCGAACCGATCCCTATCCCTAAGACCGACACGCCAGAGGGCGAGGACAATCTCAGGGATGCGCCCTGAAAAACTGAGGGAATCCCTGAGACTGGCATTGTGATGAGGCGATGCCCAGCGTAGGGATAGGGATATGTTCCAGGCTGGTAAAATACGGGGCCCCCGGAAGTCCAGACCCCTCCCTGGCGCTGGCTTTTCAGTGTGCTCTGACGGTCTCGGGGCCTGGCGAGGGCCTCGGGAGGCTGCAATGACAAAGCAACACCTCGCCGCGATTGACTCACGAAACGAACGTGTCTGGGTTTCTCTCCTGTGAGGTGTTGTATTTTTTCCCGAGCGACGCCGGATCTCAGCAGACCTCGGGCTGCGATTCGGCTCAGGCGAATGCGGGGGGCCACGGCAATGGCCTCGAGCCCAGCGCCCAGCGCCAACTCCGCTAGCGTGGCTGGCACGCGTGGCTGGCGTCGGTGCTGACCAACCTGGGGCGCGGCAGGGTTCACGAGCGGCAATCCAGATTCGCGAAAAAGCACTCAATATCCACGGGGTCGTGGCCCAAGGGCCTGGCCCGCGAGGCTGTAATTAGATACAAGTATGACTTTCCGGCTACGGAACGGTGCCGCCAGGGCAGGGCAGGGTCCGTCAGCGTCGAATCGAAGTCGCATCGGATCGGAACGTGCGTCGGAACGGTCCGCATCGGCACGGAGTCAGAATCGAATCGAAGCGGATCGGCTGCGTCAGGTGGCACAGCTGCGATGTTCGAACATCGGTCCGCATATGTCCGCATCGGATCGTCAGAGTATCGGAATCGAATCGGGTCGGGTCGGGACCGATATCGAATCGGATCCATCGGGTAGACATGTACCCTCAGGGGCACTACCGGGGTGGCGTGGATCGGCGGCGCGGAGTAGGGGGAGGGGTGACGACGGCCTCGGCGTCGACGTCTCGGATGCATTTGGGCGCTCTCCTGGGAGCTCTCGCTGCCACGGCTGAGTGAGGCTCGGGATGCTGGCAGGCATGGGCGGCCTCCCGGGAAGAGGGCGAGAAGAGGGAAATTCCAAGAAGGAGGAGAGAGGAGGAGAGAGGAGGAGGGGGAGGAGGAGGAGGAGGAGGAGGAGGAGGAGGAGGAGGAGGAGGAGGAGGAGGAGGAGGAGGAGGAGGAGGAGGAGGAGGAGGAGGGAGGAGGAGGAGGAGGAGGAGGAGGAGGAGGAGGAGGAGGAGGAAGGAGGAGGAGGAGGAGGAGGAGGAGGAGGAGGGAGGAGGAGGAGGAGGAGGAGGGAGGGAGGATGAGGGAGGAGGAGGGAGGAGGAGGAGGGAGGAGGAGGAGAGAGAGGAAGTCTGGGGCTGGGCGAGGGGGGCGGTCTCCTGCGAAGCCGGGGGCGGCCCTCTGAGCAGGCGGGGTGCCGTCGACTGACCACCTCGCCGGTCCTGGCCAGCTCGTTCCTGGGCCCAGGATCGGTGCAGACGCCTCCCTTAGGGGGCCACATGCGAACCCTACCCCTATCCCTCACGATTTTCGACGGGGAGGGTGGGGTTCACTTCGCTCGGGAGCTCCCGAACGAAGGGAACCCCACCCTCCCCCTCAGAAATCGTGGGGGGTAGGGGTAGCGTTCGCATGTTGCCCCCTATCCCTGCCCAAGCCGGGAGGGCGCATAGAGAGACCGATCCTCGGCCCCGGGCGGGGGCGCGCAAACATGGGTCAGTGGTCCATGGGTATGGCGCGCGGTCGCCGAATCCATGGATCGGGGGAGGTGCCCTCCTCAGACTGCGGCAGGTGGCGCCTCGCTCGGCGGCGGAAGTCCGCGGCTTCCCATGGAAATTGGGCCCGTCGCTAATCCACGCCCCCCTTGATCCATGTTTGCGATCGCCTGACCAGGATGGCCCTGGCCACGATGGTCGTGGTGATCAGCTGACGCCGCCCCCTCTGACGGGCCCTGCCGCCGCCTCCTTGTAGAGGCGAGCGAGAGAAGGCTCCTCATCAGAGGGCAAGAGAGCTCTCGAGAGGGCTTTGGCATGAAGCACACAGGGGCCTGAGAAAACTGGACCGTAGACCCCCGGGGTCTTCCCCCGTGACCACCTATTCGTCCTGAGCTGCTTCTGTTGACAGTCCCTGAGGCCCCTGGAGGGAGCCCGAAAACGGAGAAACGTCTCAGGATACGAGCCCTTTAGGACCCGTTCCCATGCAGACATCCAATGTGTAGATGTTCTGGATACGGGGTCCACGGAAGTCTGAGCCCTTTCCCCCCCCAGTACCGGCTCTTCATCTCGAGTCGCTTTTCGGCAGTCCCAGGGCCCGGCGAGGGCCCCCAGAGGCGGAACACTGGCAAAACCCTCTCCGCCATGAGTTCCTTTTTCGCGACGCGAGCGCGTCTGGGTCTGCTTCCTAGCGGCCTCCGGGTGGGAGCCCCCCGCCCCCTCCTGCGCGCTTCACCAGCTGGACGTCCGGAGATGCCACGCTGCAGAAGAAAATTGCCACATCGCGAGGGATCGCGATCGCAGCCCCAGACCCCGTCTTTCTGCGGCCTTGTTCTAGCTGGATCGATCTGTGAGGGCCCCAGGCCCCGTCCTTCCTTCCCTTCGGCCGCGCACTTCCTCCCTGTCATCCTCTTGCATGGTGGCACACTTCGCTCCAACGGCATCCCCGTTTCAGCCTCCCCTCGCCAGCGCAGCCACCCCCTGCCTAGCTGCCGACGCAACAACAAAATGTGAGGGCCCCGGGGCCCAGCACCCGACAAAAAACGCCGGTCGTGAGAAAGCATGCGCCGCCCAGGCCTGAGGTGTCGGGACTGATGGAGGTGTGGCGCTGGGCCTCGCCCGTCGATGTCGGGGGGCTGCCGGCTGGCCACCCCGCCGGCCCAGGCCGTGCGCCTCCTCGGGGCCCTCGGGGGGCGGCGTCCCCGCCCGCGGTTCGTGGAGGGGGTGGCGGCTGCCGCCGTCCCTCGGCGCGCGCGCTGGAGCTCCCCGCGATATGGAGGTCCTTCGGTTTACGTCGGGCGTGTCCCCCTACAGGGGGATTTGCGACGGAAAAAAAAAGTACCTCCGAAATGCGCCAAAGAGGTAAAAACATACCCCAAAAATAGTCCCCAGACTATTTTTGGATCATTTTTTGATTATTTGTGGGGTATTTCTTATGTTTCGTCGAAGATCCCCCTGTAGGGGGACAGGCCCGACTTAACCTTAGGTTGGGCTCGGCTCATCTGGATTTGACACCTGGCCTGGCCAGGGCTCCCGGGAGGCTCGACGACTTTTCCGCACTCGACCTGCAAGGATCAAGCCGGGCAGATCGAGGCGGGTGACCACCAATCACATCAACCGCTGCAAATCCAGAGGGGTGCTGGATCTGCCGGCGTGGACCCAGAGATCTGCTGGAAACATCTGGGGCAGATCTGAGCTCCAGCGCGAGTTGAGGGGCAGCAGAAGTCGTCAGGCCCTCCACGAGAGAGGGCGAGGACGCTGGTCCTAGGCCCTGGGTCGGCACGGCTAGGATGGGTGAGCTGGTCGGTTGCCACGACGACGACGACGACGACGACGACGACGACGACGACGACGACGACGACGACGACGACGACGACTGCCACGACGACGACGACGACGACGACGACGACGACGACGACGACGACGACGACGACGACGACTGCCACGACGACGACGACGACGACGACCACGACGACGACGACCACGACGACGACGACCACGACGACCACAACGACCACGACGACGAACACGACGACGACGACGACGCTCCCTGGACGGAGGGCATTCCTGGGCCACGGGCCCTCCGTTTTTAGGGAAGCCAAACAACGACAGTAGCACAAGACTGGGCAGTCCCAGCGGGTTCCTCAGATCGGCGCTGGGGACCCCCTGGCGGCGCCTCCGGCGCCGCCCCTGGCGCTCTTCGCGGGCCAGGGAAAGGGGGTCCAGCGCCAGTCCGAGAAATCCGCGCGGACCTCCGAATGTGCTGTTGTTGTGTCCATTGCTTCTCCTTGCCATACGAGCTTCGGTTGTGATGGGGAGAAAACGGGATGGAAAGGGCCGCGTGCATGATTTGTACGATTCGTCATCCACAGGTACGCACTTGTTCTTCATCTTGCCACCTCGTGTGTCCACGCATCTAGCTGATGTTGAGTGGGGGGGTCGTTCAGTTCTGGTCCCTCCCTCCCCCCCACCGTGCTGCTGTCATGTCCGTTGCGTTTCCCCGAAGTCCTGGGCCACGGGCCCTCCGTTGCGCTGCTCCCGGTGCTTGCAGTGCCTCGGGCCTCCGGGGGCCCGCCAGGCGGGCTCTCCCCGCACTGAGCGGAGGGGCCCCCATTGGGGTTCGGCGAGCGACCCCCGGCAGCGTGTGCTGCTCGCCTCTCTGGGTCGCAAGCGGGCTCAGTTAGGGGGCCAGGTGCGAGCCCTACCCCTGACACCCCCCCACGATTTCTGAGGGGGAGGGTGGGGTTCCCTTCGCTCGGGAGCTCCCGAACGGAGTGAGCCCCACCCTCCCCCTCAGAAGTCGTGGGGGGCAGGGGTAGGGTTCGCATCTGGCCCCCTATCAGTGGCCAGATCCCTCGGAGGGGTGCCTCTCGAAGCCGCTGCGACGGTCACGAGGAGGGGTGCAGGAGCAGCGCGCAATGACTGGCAGCACGGACGGTGAGTACAGAAACAGGGTGGAGGCGGCATCTCGCCGTGAAGGACGCGGCTCTTAAGCGAGAGGAGCAGAGCGATCTCACGACCGCACATCCATGACGCCGAAACGCCGCATAGGAGCCAACATACGTATTCCAAGCACGACCCTGGAACTGGTCAGAACTTCGAACGGGGGAGGGAGAAGGGGATGGAGAGGAGAACGGTCTGAGATCTCTGGTTTGCGTGCCCTTATTGTGCATGCTGGCGACAAGGTGCCTATGCTCTCGACGCCCTCGGCAGGAAGCCGAGAAAAGTGATATGGGGTTAAGAGGATACCACCCTGGAGCCGCCGCGAGGCCACTCTGGGGCTTGCATACCCCATCCCCGCCTTGGCCGCAGCGTGGGCCATGACGCAGATCCCATGGGCCGTCGCGCCTGCGGCAGGGTGGCGCGACGCGTGCACAGCCGAAGAGATGGACGCCAGACACTAGAGGTTCAGAAGAGCCCGATGACAAGGCGTGAACAGGAAGGGACGAAGTGAGAGCGGACATTCGGAGGGGTGCCGCGCACTGAGGGATGGACCGAGTGGGAGGGGCGCGGAGGCGTACTCGCAGAGCGGCGCGAAGGCGTGCTGCGCTTCAGGCGAGAGGCCAATCTCTCTCTCTCTCTCTCTCTCTCCCTCCTTATCTCTTTTTCTCTCTCTCTTTTATTTGATCTTTTGTTTGTCTCTCTCTCTCTCTCTCTCTCTCTCTCTCTAACACTCACACACTACATACATGGATTTCCACCGATCGCTGACGTCCCTGGAGATCGATACCCAGACGGTGGCTACTTATCACTTCCCGCCTCCGAAGGGAGACGACGGAACACGAAGCCCAACCAACTGGCCCCCGGACCTCTCGACCCCTGTCCCAGGGGTCAGTTGAATCACCTCGGACAGCTTTCTGATGGCGCCAGGGCCCAGAGCAGGCACCCGTGCGCCCACACCCAGCGGAAGGCCAGGCGAGACAGCGACGGCTCTCCCGCCCGGCCACAAAGTCCGCTCAGATCGGTCCCCCGAGCCCATCCTGGGGATCCCGCCTGGGCTGCTCTCCGAAGCGGCCCCGGCCGTGGCGACGACGAGAGGCCTCCAGGAACTCCCCCCCCTCTTCGGGAAAGGGCCGTTTGTCTCGACGGGCCCTCCTCCGACGGATATGGCCACGGCTGGAGGGGGGCTGCCCCCGCGCCAGGGCGCCAGGAGCTGAGGAGGCCAGGCATCGGGGGCGTCCGGGAGGGGGGCGCCCACGAGGGGGGGGTATGGCCAATCACGGCCCGAGGCACGTGCGCGGACCAGGGGGACCGTGCCGGGGACACGTTGAAAGAAGAGGGGGGGAAGCATTCATGACCCTGGCCTTGATGTCCACCCCCCATGTCATCACCCGCCTTATGGACGCTCCCGAAGGTACGGCCCGTGCGCCCACCCCAGGGCTGCCCTCGTGGAGGCGTGCCATCTGCGCCAGGAGGCAGCTGAACACGCTGTCCACCAGCCCGAGCCACCTCGGCGCGCTCCCCATACGGCAGGTAGTGTCGTGACGTCCCTGGCGTTGGTCTCTGACAACGAGCGGATCGTTCAACCTTGAACGATCGGCGGATTGTCGATCTCCAGATCGTTCCATATTGGCCGATTCTGGGCCACTGGCGGCGATCAACCTTGAACGCCCGCCGCGGGATCACCGCCGCGCCGACACGACGCGGACCTGCCGTACCCCCCCAACGTCGTGACCCTTTCGTAGCAGCACGCGGTAAGGCGTTGGCAGGGCGAAGATAAGCTCAGACGAAGGTGACTCGGGAATCTCAGAGAGCTGGCGGGTCTGCTGGACGCATCGGGCACGGAGGGCCCCAGTCGTCGTTGTCGTCACAGCTCGAGGAGCTCAGGGGATCTGGGAGCTGACCCGTCTGCTGGGCATGCGGCTCTGATCAGATCGAGAGCGGCTCGCTCGCCTCTCCAGGTCTCTGCGGCTCCTCCCCCCCCCCGACGTCCAGCGCCACGAGCGGCAAACCTCGCGGCGCCCGGCTTTTTTCCCCACCTCGGGCCTCCGGGCCCGCTTTTCGCCCTGCCAGGAACGCTCCCGTGATGCGCCCTCTGTTTGCGCATGCGTCTATTCTTCGACCTGCGCACGCGGCACGTCTCTGCTCCTCTCCAGGCCAGGAGGAAACGCTGGCCCCCAGGGTGGCGGGCGAGTCGAACAACACCGAGTCGTCGGAGGACTGGCTCCGGTGCGGAGGGACACGGGCCCGAGCGCTCTCAGCACGGGGCCCAGCCTGCATGGCGCAGATCGATCAGGGTGCGCTTCGGCCCAGCGACGTCGTGGTGTCTTTCTCGCAACGTGGGCCGACCCGGAGGTCTCAGCATTTTTCCTGGAACCGGTTTTGCATCCCGACTCGCTTCGTTCGCGGATCCGAGGTCCTGGGAAGAGCCCCCAAAGACAGAACATGTGCAGACACCTTCCGCCACGACCCTTTAGCAGCGAGACGAGATGTTGGTTGGCCCGCGTAGAATGCCACAGAGCTCTCCACGTCCGCGCGCTGGAGCTTAGAAGGACTTTCCTGATCCTGGACTGACGGGCAGCTCCTAGGCAAGCAAGGGATCCACACGCGCCTGGCTCTTCAGCAGGAGGAGGAGGAGGAGAGGGAGGAGGAGGAGGCGGAGGAAGAGGATGAGGAGGAGGAGAGGGAGGAGGAGGAGGAGGAAGACGTGGAGGAGGAGGAGGAGGAGGCGGAGGAGGAGGAGGAGGGTGGAGGAGGAGGAGGAGGAAGAGGAGGAGGAGGAGGAGGAGGAGGAGGGTGGAGAAGGAGGAGGAGGAGGATGGAGGAGGAGGAGGTGGTGGTGGAGGAGGAGGAGGAGGAGGAGGAGGAGGATGGTAGTGATTTCTCCTTTTCTCTTTTGGTTATCCACCACCGTGCCTCGACCACCGAGTGGCGTGCCATCAGGTCCCTTCGAATGCTCTGCCTTGCACGCGCATGCACGTGCACCAAACTTTTGTACGAGCCGCAGGCCTTGGATTTCCGGGCCAGTCCAGGCGCTTGCGGGCGCTCTTGAAATTTATCGTGCGGCGTGTCCCTGTGCCAGAAACCATGTTTGAATGTTTTCGGCCCTAGAGAAGAAGGGGAGCACCCGAATTGGCCCCACGAGCCCGCTTGTCCCCAAATGGCCTCCGAGACCACAAAGAGGCCCCCCAGCGGCACCCAAGAGGCCCCACGATGTCCCCAAGAGGCCTCCATGAGAACGGCCCAGCGAGGCATCCCAAAAGACCCCAATAGGCATCCGAGAGACCTCGGATCCACAATCGATGGCAAGGTGGCGGGGTAGGCCGAAGGCCACGAGAGAAGAAGCTCTGGCCCCAAGGCGCCAAGGATCCCTCGGTAGATCAAAATGGACGGCCCCAAGATGACTGGGCACCACTTCAGTCCAGCCCCTGTCAGACATTCGACTTGCTGTTCTCTTCGGCGATCGACGTTCTACCCACGCTTCTGTCCACGCTCCAATCCCATCATGTGGCCAGAGTGGGGGGCAGGGGTAAGAATCTTGTCCCATGAGCCGAGACTTCTATCCATCCCCTTCTCCTCCTGGCTCCCCGAGTGGGGGGTGCAGCAACAGGGGTGGGTATGGTTACCAGCCTGGAACATATCCCTATCCCTATGCTGGGCATCCCCATCATCACGATGCCAATCTTAGAGATTCCCGTATTCTTTGTGGGCGGATCCCTAAGATTGTCATCGCCTTTTGGCGTGTCGATCTTAGGGATAGGGATCAGTTCGAGGCTGGTGATATGCATCGAACGTCGATCGCAGAACGTCTTGCTGCTTGCAGTGCGGGGCCCCCGAACTCAGAAAGCACGGCGCGCGAGACTGCCGCCCTCCGCCCAGCCGCTGCGGAGCCGGCCGCGCCGCGTCCGCGTCGCCGCCCTCGCCCTCCATCTCTGGAGCCGCGTCGCCTGCGGAGGCTGCTATCCTCCTCCTCCTCCTCCTCCTCCTCCTCCTCCTCCTCTCTCTCCTCTCCTCTCCTCCTCCTCCTCCTCCTCCTCCTCCTCCTCTCCTCCTCCTCCTCTCCTCTCTCCTCCTCCTCCTCCTCCTTTTCCTCCTCCTCCTCCTCCTTTTCCTCCTCCTCCTCCCTCCTCCCTACTCCCTTCTCCTCCCTCCTCATTTAGCCAGGAGAAGACACCAGATCACACCAATGGGGGGCAACGATGTGAGGAACTGGCTCCGAGGAGGGGGGGGGAGCAACATCGACCCGGAATCGGCGACGCATCGACGGTGGATCGGCGATAGGCTCCCGGTAGCGGATGCGCACGTGCATGGGCACGGTGGGCTATGCTCAGGCCCCAATCTGCGATGATCGGGCGATTCGGGGTCAATGCATCCCCCCCAGCACCTATCACCCCCTAACGTTGCCTCTGAACCAGGCCTGCGAGAACTGCTATCAGATCCAGCCCGCGAGAGCCACCCGATATAATTAACTACCTTCAGAGGCGCCAGGACCTGCCAGTCTAGATAACAAAAACAACTCAGAAGCACGCGATTCTGAGGCAGCCTCACGAGCAGCGACAGCAGCCGACACCAGAGGCCCGTAAGTAAGTAGATGGGGTCGGAGGATCGCCGATCGCATCGTATCGCCGACGCGCGCCGCTCACCGATTCGCCTCCCGCTTGCGGCAAGTCTTCCGTGTTGGGCGCGCTCCCTGCACGTCGCGAACAAAAGACACGTGGGCGCGTAGTGTTGCGATCTTCGCCTTCAGCGGGTAATTACGTTCGGGCCCAGGGGCCGACCACAACAGACCGACCCTCGACAAGAAACAGTCTTGCGAGATGGCCAGGAGAGAGCTCCATGGCTCCAGGGCCCACGTCGTGAAATACACACACACACACATCACGCCGGTCTGGGCGGCAATCTCGAAAAGCCTGCCCTTGCGAACTTCCGGCCCCGTCTTCCTAGCCATCCTCCTCCTGCTGAGCGCGCGCTCATGCAAAGCGAAGGTAGGACGAAGATCAATCCAGGTGTGGATAAATGATCCGACATCGCTGAGAGCCGGCGGGTATGTAGGATGTTCCAGGCGCCGCGGCCGTCCGAGACGTTCCAGGCTCTGAGCGCGTTCCGGAGCTCCACTGCGGCAATTGATCCCCGTCCTAAGCACGCCTCCAAAGTTCCGTGTTCTCCTCGGGGGCCCTCACCGCCAAGTGCCCTGTGCCGCCCCCCGCGCCAAGCTGGGCTACGGCATGTTCGTGCTGTGACGACTTGCGCGTTGGTCTCCGACACCGGTCGATCGTTCAACCTTACACGATCGCGCCGTTCCGATGCGGCGGATGGTCCGATGTCGGCGGATTCCGAGCCCCTGGCGGAGTTCAACCTTGAACGCCCGCGCTGGGGTCGCCGCCGCGTCGACACGACACGAACCAACCGTTCGGCTGCGCGCCCAGGGGGGGAAGGCAGAGGGAGCGGGCGCTCTCGGGAAGCTCAGAAGGCAGCAGAGCTCCCAAGGAACTTTCTCGGCCTTCCCCGATGCCGCACAAGGCTCCTCAGGAGGCCGGAAGGGCTGCCCCCCCTTGCTTCCTCCCTCCGCTCGCCGCCGAGCGTGCGGATCAGGGCCACACCACCGCTCACCGCTCATCTCCATAGTTTCGGGGGGGGGGGGATCCGCGGTGCTCTCTCTCTCTCTCTCTCACTCGTGCCGGTGCCGCCTGCCTGGCGTCAGCTTGGCGTACGCGTGGAGCAGGTTGGAGATCGCCTGAACGGGCCGCCCGAGGCATCCCCAAGGGGGAGCCCTGGCATCCGCGGAAGGCAACTACCCATCGGTCGGAAGAAGTAGGTAGAAACATGGAGCAGGAAGGCGTTGAAAGTAGATTGGGTGTCCGCCCGCCCCCCCATGGGAGGACGAACGCGGCTTAAGCCACTCGATCACTCAAGCAGGGAGGTGCTTACAGTAGATCAGGATCTGGGAATCCAGAAATGTACCTGCTTTCAACGACCGATGGGCACTCAGACCTCGGCTCGCGGTTCGCGTTTCTCAGGCCTCGGGGCAAATCCTCGGAACCTTCCCGGCCTCGGGGTGCTGTCCGGCAACGGCGCCTCGCCGAGGGCGTCCCCATAGGGGTGCCCGGAAACCGTCCCGAGCGGCCGCCGCAGACCCGAAAGCTCTGACCCGGAAGCGGACCACCCAGCAGACCACCCCAACCCCAACCCGAAGACCCGAATTCAAACCGAATTTTGGGTTGGGGGGGGGTACGGGTCCGATGTGCTCTTCCCCACCCTTCTGTGGTGGGGGTTCCTCGTCTTGAAGAGACAGCGCCCCGCGTCTCCTCTCCTCCTCCACCCTCCTCCTCCTCCTCCACCCTCCTCCTCCTCCTCCACCCTCCTCCTCCTCCTCCTCCTCCTCCTCCTCCTCCTCCTCCTCCTCCTCCTCCACCCTCCTCCTCCTCCTCCTCCTCCTCCTCCTCCTCCTCCTCCCCCTCCTCCTCCTCCTCCTCGGCGAGCGCAACCTTCGGAGGTCCTCGGGGCCCAGCTCGCGCGGCGCCATCCCCCCGGCCCATGGTTGCCCTGACGTGCTGCACCATCTTGGAGCCCTCGAGTCCCCTTGCCCTCGTCGGGGGCGCCCTGGGGGACTTCGGGAGCTCCGCGAGGCCGCGGACACACTTGGCAAGGCCCGGCATGCGTGGGCCAGAGGGCGCGGGCCGCCCCCGAGGACCGCACCGCCTCGCCGACGCATCCCAGATCTGCGGAATCACGATCGAGTCAGGACGGACGGGCTGTTCCCGCTCTTGGCCTCCGGAAACGCTCTCGGTCCTCTTTGGATGCATGTGGCAGCGCAGAACAAGCAAGACGGCCAAAAAAGTTCGACCCTCGAGCATCGGACCGTCCACCCCTCCTGACGCTTCTGGCTCCCGAGAGCAGCAGGACTGAAATGAGAAGGAGGAGGAGGAGGAGGAGGAGGAGGAGGAAGAGGGGGAGGAGGAGGAAGAGGAGGAGAAGTGGCAGGAGGATGAGGGTCATGAGAAGGAGGGAGAGGAGCAGGAGGAGCTGCATGATGAGGGAGAACATGGGGAGGAACAAAAAGAAGGAGGAGGATGGACAGGAGCGGGAGGAGGGAGACTAGAGTCAGTAATCACAATAATCATCAACACTGCTGCAACACACCCTGCCCTCCCAAGTCATCTCCTCGTTAGTCAAGGCCTTCACCATCACTATAAGATGCGCCCCCTTGGAAGGCCAGCTCCCGATGGTCCTACCATTCAGGCGAGAGCCCTGTTTTGAAAGCTGCCCTGCATCCTTCTAGCGAAGCACCAGAAAAGAGGGCGTGTATGAATGACCGTACACTTCATCTGGATCTCCAGCGGGATCTCCGTTTTGAAAACGGACCGCCCCCCATGAGTGTAACTGCTACGCCAACTCACCCTTCTGAAAATGAGCTTCGCGTAGTAGGTTTTAAGCGCGAGCGAGAGCCCCATTTTGAAGAGGAACCGCCCTCCACGTATGACAGTGCTGCAAGTTTGTGGAACGAATGTGCGCGGCGCTGAGTCAAGAACCCCTGTTTCGAAACAAGACCGCCCAGCACCCGTGTGACAACTGCAAACTTTTAGCCCGAGAAGGCGTGCGTCGCTACGGCGGGAACTCCATTTTGAAAACGACCCACCTCCACTTTACCTGCTGCAAGTTTCTGACACGAACGTGCGCGGCGCTATGGCGAACGCTCCGTTTTGATCCCACATCCATCCTTATACGTGGTGCAAGCCTTTAGGACGAGCGTATGCGCGACGCTACGGCAAAGACTGAATTTGCAAAACTGGCCGCATCTATCCTTCGTACAGTTGCAAAATTTGACGATCAATGTGGGCGCCGCTACAGGTGAGAAACAGCTCTGCCCTGCCCCATCCACCCGGATAAGTATTGCGGGATGTCATGCTTCGTGACTTGAATTACATGGTGGCGAGGTCTCAGGCGAAACGCCCCTACCGACACGCCTGGGCGTGCGACAGGGAGGACGTCTGTGTAAGGAAAAGGATGGAGGAGCAGTGCGAGGAGGACGTAGGAGAATGAGGGGCGGAAAGGAGAAGCATGATGTTAAGACACAGGAAGGGGATTGAGTGAGAGGATGAGGGATATCACACCACAGCGGCGGGCAGATGTCCGTCTGGCGCGAAGGCTGCAAGTACTTCGCGCCAATCTCATGTGGCGGGAGGTGCCTTGTGATCGGACGGGGGAGAATAACCTCCCTGATGGCGCGGTCTGTGGGGGCCTCAACTGGAAATCAGTGGCGGGAAGCGGCCATAAGGACGAAGCTCGCCCCTTCTGCACACTTGCAAACAGAGAGACGCAGGCGGTACACACGCTTTGGCACGCGTGATACGGCGCCCTTGCGCTGGCGAGGCCGCTTTGGAACATCCCCCGCGGCGGCCCAGAAACAAGCAACAGTTTGCGAAGCCCGAAGCCCACTGGGAGGGGGGGAAACGCTAGCACTGGTGTGCCGCGCGTTGAACAGCAAGGAGAGCCTGGAAGCTGTCATGGAGGGACGCCCCAAAAGAAGCGGCAGGTCGGAGGGCCTGCTGGAATCCATCTCAGGCAGCTTGTGATCGATGGAACCTGTCTTGCGTCCAGCAGTGGAGCTGACTTTTCCTGGGCGTGCTGGAAAGATTGGGCGGAAGTGGTTGGCTCGCTGATGCACCGCGTTGATTCTAGCAATGAGGACTGATTCGCGGTCACCGCCAGGCTGCAATCAGCGCGCTGAGAAGCGCTGCGTGAAGGGTTGCCTACGGCCGGTCTGCTGGGCACCGGGAGTGCCGAGCCCTGCGCCGGCGGCGGTCCGTGGCCGTGCTCTGCCCCCCGCACCCTGGCGGGAGGAAAAGCTGACCTGGTGGCGGGGGGGGGGGGCTGGTGATGGCGGCCTGATCTCGAGGGCCGGTAGCGGCTTGATCGTGCCCGTTGCAGAAGAGGCTGGCGCTTGGCTCGCGACGTGGTGGCCGTCGTGGTCGCTGTGGTCGTCTCTGCAGTGGCTCTGTGGTAGGGGGGGGCACGTGGCCTTCGTTGTCGTCCATGGAGGCGCCTAGCCCGAACGGGTCGATGACCTCGCCGTCGAGGTCGTCGAGCAGGGCCGGCGAATTTATCATCGAAATGATCGAACCTGGTGGGCCGTCGGGATGGTCGGGGCCCCCCGGTGAGCCCGGTGGCTCGTGCCTGCGTTGGCCTGCGGCGAGAGGGTTGGGCTTCGTCTTGCCGAATTCTGCCCTGGCACAGCCCGCTCGCCTGTCGTGCGCGGGGCGAGTCTGGTGGCGTCGGTCGTACATGGCAACGGCCGCGCCATGAAGGACGGCGGCAAGTTCACGTAGCCACTTGGCGGCGTCGGCGAAGCATTGCGGCGGGCGTTGGAGGCGCGCGCCAGCGGTGGCGAGTTCATCGACGTGGCGACTGAAAGTATCGGCGATTGGCGCGATAATTTTAATCGCCACGTCTACGCATTGCTCGCCCAGGTGGCCTTCGACCTTCTGGACTTTGAACGCGCCCAGTTTGGCCCATAGGACCTGGTGGATCGTGAACCAAAGGTCGGCCTGAGCACCCGCGCGAAGTGGCGGTCTACCGCTGAAAAGATCCTCGACTCCGTCTGCGACAGCTTGTTTGTCAACGAAGATGTGAGCGAACAGTTCGGCCGTGGCGACGAGATGGAGCACGGCCCGCTTCTCGGCTCGCTGCGCGGACCGCGCCAAACCGTGCGCCCGCGCAGAGCGGTTGAGCCGACGGTCAGGGCCGTAGTGCATGCCGAACCAGCCCTGGCGAGGAGCGGGCGGGCTTGGTGGGGGCAGGCCCCATCGGTGGCAGCGTAGGGCCAAGGGCCTCTGCTCTCGTCGGTGCATTCCTCGCGGATGTCGCCGTCGGGGCACTCTCGCGTCGGCTGCGGGATGGGCTGCGCGATACTGCGCGAGCTCGTCCTCGGCGACGGCGACCTGGAGCAAGGGGCTGGTTTTTCCCTCCAGAAGACCGCAGTGTCGTTTGAGGTGGCAGGTCTCGCCTTTGCTGCTCGGTGATCTTGTCTTTCAGCTCAGTCCTCTCGGGTTGCCAGCGCGGGCTTTCCAAGGCAGTGTGCTCCTGGATTATTTCTTCTGGATCGCGCCATCTGCGCGGCGGGGATGGGTCGGCCGAGATGCCAGCCTTGATTTCTCTCGGCCGGGCGTAGTCACCCCCGCAGAGCGAGTTGGCGAGGAGACCAAGTTGCCGAGCAGTGCACGTGGCCTTACCTCCAGGACGGGGCAACCACGCGTTGGCGCGAAGTAGTCAGATCCCTGTTTGGCAGCAGCGATGGCCCCCAAGCCGTGCGCTTCATGCCATCGACTGGCCAGCTCGAGTCGAATTATGCCACGGCTTGCCAAACTCTACCCAGTGGGCCTCCTCCTTGGGAGGCTTGTGGGTAGTCTTGCAGCTATTTGGCTTTGGCTTGCAACTATTTGGTGTCTCTCCGCGCCTGCCTTCTGATGCCGAGCAAAGAGCCCCCTTGCGTGATAGCACCAAGCTCGGCAGCATGCCCGGGGCAGCGAGGGCGCTGAGAGCCAATTGACTACCTGCCAGACCACCCCAACCCAACCCGAAGACCCGAATTTCGGGTTGGGGGGGTAAGGGTTCCACATGTGTTTTTTCGATGTTTCCCGACCCCCCCCCCACTGGAAATCGAGGGTAAATCTGAGCCTTCGGGTTGGGTTGGGGTGGTTTGGTGGGTGGTGACCAATTGCGAGATCCGGGATCTTACTGCGGGCCGAATGGCCGCGAGCGCAGAGTTGTAGTCACTGGAGGCGTCTGGCTCTCTGATTGGACGCTTGACTGTCATGGACAGTGGCGCGCGTGCTGGCGAAGGACCTGGCCGCCGGAGCTCTCGCTTGGGTGCCCTCGGGAAGCCGGCCGGTGCGTGGGCGTCTGGTGACAGCCCGTCGCGCCCTGGCGTCAGCGGTGGCTTCCCAGTTCAATTGGACGTCGTTCGCAACGGGTGCTGGCCTATTGCGGGCTCCACCTGTTGGTGAGCTTGCCTTGGCCGCCCGCGAACCTTAAGGGCGGCCACCTGGCGGTGGAGCTCTTCGCCCACGGCGCAGCCGACCAGTTTGCCAGGGTTGATTTTTTGGCCAGACATCCTGTCAACGAAGACGTTGGATCTCCCTGGCCGCGGGGGCCGCAGAGATGCTGTCGTCGACGAATGTTGTGCTCAGTGGGCGGGGCACGTACCGGTGCTGTCGCTTGTCCAATCGGCCGGAAAGGGGTTTGATGTCGTCAAGGGGGCAAGAGCTACCCTGCAGGTGCCCGCGGGTGCGCGCCAGGGGTCTGGAGCAAGCGCCGCGCCCATGCGGATGCATCTCCAGTGGTTGTCACGGAAGCGCCGCCTGTCACTTTTGGTAGGTGGATCTCTCAAGCTCTCCGCCGCCTCTGGCGGTGTGCGTTGCGAGCAGGAACACAGCAAAGCCACAGGAAAGCGCGGCATTGACAGCGTAGCTCCGCACACGTGACAAGCTTTCACGAGCAGGAGCGCAGTAAAGCCCCAGGAGACGAGGCATTGACAGTGTAGCTTCGCTCCCGTCAGTGCCTGGTGGCGCGCGCGAGGTCCCGTTGTGCGGGTTCGGAAGTAGAGAGCGTTGGGGTTGGCGGCCGCTCTGACCCACTGGCTTTTCGCCCCGCCTCTGTCCTTGGCCCGCATTCGGGCTCCAGGCAATGATGCGGATGGCCCAATCGGCGCGGGTGCCCCTCCTGAGCAAGGCGCTGGCGGAGGCGATTAGGTTGCCGAGTTGCAGGTCGGTGGGGAGTTCGCCGCGATCCCAGAAATGCGGGGGCTCCGTCAGACTTGTGGGTCGGAGGCGTCTGGCAATGACGCTGGCCGCAGCCCAGTAGCTTTCCGGGCGGAGTAGGCGCACCCCATGCGGTCTCCAAGGGTTTGCTGTTCTTCCAGGTCTGCCGTCGGATAGGCCAGCGAGTAGCGTGCCACTGCCTTCAATCTCCTCGCCGGATGTCTGGTGGCGTCGAGGTCGAGAGACCACGGGGCCGAGGCGCCACTTGGTTGGGAGGTCGCGTATGAGCAAGAAAGAAGTTGGTGGCAAATAGTTTCGCTTGGGCGTCAGCGAATCCATAGTCGATGCGTGTTCTTCCCGTGCTGGCAATGCGTCAGTCCCAGTCAAGGTCTTGGCCGCGGTTGCAAGCTCGCTCGTCTGGGTAGCTTGTCGCGGCGTTGGTCCAACCGAGGCTCAGGAGGTCAGCGAGACAAGCCGAATCCTTTAGATCACAGCGGGCGTCCATGCACAGGAAGTGCGGAGCGCCCCCAGCCCTGCTGGCGGGCCCCATAGATTTGATGGGGCCGTGCTGCGATGTCGGTCCCCGATGTGGCGTCGACTGGCACGGCGCAGACGCCTGTCCCGGAGAGGCAACATGTCCCCCTCCAATTTCCGCCTGGTGGTGGTGGTCGGGGCAGGCATTGGGCAAGAGGCGTCCGCCCGAGGAGGTTGGCAATTATCCCAGTGCGACCCTACATAGGAGTTGGAGCCCCTAGGAAAGCAGTATTAGTACGAACAGTAAAGCTAAAGCTAAGCTAAAGCTAAGTTAAAACTAAACTAAAGCTAAGCTAACGCTAAGCTAAAGCTAAGCTAAGCTAAGCTCAAGGTAAGCTAGAGCTAAGATGAAGCTAAGCTGAAGCTAAGCTAAAGCTAAGGCTAAGCTAAGGCTAAGCTACCGCTAAGCTAAACCTGAGCTAAAGCTAAGCTAAAGCTCAGCTAAAGCTACGCTAAAGGCTAAACTAAAGCTAAGCTAAAGCTAAGCTAAAGCGACGGTAAAGCTAAGCTAAAGCTACGGTAAAGGCTCAGCTAAAGCTAAGCTAAAACTAAGCTAAAGCCAAGCTAAAGCTAAGCTAAAGCTAAGCTAAAGCTTAGGTGCAGCTAAGCTAAAGCCAAGCTAAAGCCAAGCTAAAGCTAAGCTAAAGCTAAGCTAAAGCTAAGGTACAGCTAAGCTAAAGCTAAGCTAAAGCTAAGCTAAATCTAAGCTGAAACTAAGCTAAAGCTAAGCTGAAGCTAAGCTAAAGCTAAGCTAAAGCTAAACCTACAGCTAAGATGAAGCCAAGCTAAAGCTAAGGTGCCGCTAAGCTAAAGCCAAGCTAAAGCTAAGCTAAAGTTAAGCTAAATCTAAGCTAAAGCTAAGCTAAAGCTAAGCTAAAGCTAAGCTAAAGCTAAGCTACAGCTAAGCTGAAGCTAAGCTACAGCTAAGCTAAAGCCAAGCTAAAGCTAAAGCTAAAGCTAAAGCTCTCAGGGGACTGGGGGAACCGCGGGGCGGGGACTGGTGGAACCGCCCGGGGCGCTTTACACTGCCCAGCCCTTTAAGCTAAGAGAGTAAGAACCCTTCTAGGCAGAGCCTATGTGGGGAACAATTGGGTCGTCCTTGGGCGCATCTACCGACGATGCTGACGATGATGACTAGGAGGAGGAGGAGGAGGAGGAGGAGGAAAAGAAAAGAAAAGGAACAGGAGGCTGGATGCTAATGAGGAGGAGGAGGAGGAGGAAGAGGAGGAGGAGGAGGCTCTTGGCTGGGGTGGAGGGTCTACGAAGGCGCAACTCGCGTCGGCTGACCCGCCCGCAGCACCGCACAGCGCAGGAGGAGGATCGAAGATCGAGGATCGACGGCTTTGCGCGCTCCTGGCCCCATTGGGCCTCCCCCCTCCCCCCACTCCCTGGGTGCTCGCCGCCTGCGGCGAGCACGCGTGCTCGCACGACTGCAGCTGCCGCGCCATGTCCTGCCCAGAGGCGAGGGGGTGGCGAGCGGGGCCAAAGTACTCGTCGTGGTCGTCCTCGTCCTCGTCGTCGTCGTCGTCGTCGTCGTCGTCGTCGTCGTCGTCGTCGTCGTCGTCGTCGTCGTCGTCCTCATGCCGGCACTGGTGAGGCCTCGGGTTGCGCACAGGCAGCCCGCCCAGATAGTAGCCCCAGCTGGCCTCAACGGGCCATCCGAGCAGCCTGGGGCGGTTTCAACACCCCGGCGCCGCCTCTGGCGGCTCCGCGCCCCAGGGCTGAGGTGCTGAGGCCGCCCCGACGACTCGGGCCTGCTGAGGCCAGCCGAGACCATCTGGAGGGGCTGTTTGTGCGCAGCCCGAAACCCTACCAGCCAGAAAGAGTGGAATGGTGGAACATCTGGGGGCCGCGCGCGCTGGTTCCACGTGCGGACGCCCGGGGTACCGTGCAACCGGCAGGGCGCTGGACGGGCGTGCGGCCACATGTGCGTGCAGCTCTCTCGACCTGGCGGCCGTCCACGGAATGTGCACCTAGCTTCCCGGTGCTATCTCGGCGCTCGTGGGCCCAGCGTCGCCCCGACACCCCCCCTGGACTTCGGGAGGCAGGCGCGGCGAAGCGGCACCGTACCAGATCCCCTCCTGCCCCGTTCTTGTGCTCCTGATCCTCCACCCCTCCTCCTCGTTTTCTTATTCCTCCTCCTCCTCCTGGTCCTCCTCCTCCTCCTCATCGTCCTCGTCCTCGTCCTCGTCCTCCCCTCCTCTACCTTTTCTTCGTGTCCCTACTCTTCCTGCTCCTCCACGGAGGGGCAGCAGGAGGAGCAGGAAGAGGAGGCACAGCAGGAGGAGAAGCAGGATGGGGCAACTGCTGCTGCTGCTGCTGCTGCTGCTGCTGCTGCTCCTCCTCCTCCTCCTCCTCCTCCTCCTCCTCCTCCTCCTCCTCCTCCTCCTCCTCCTCCTCCCCCTCCTTCTCCTGCCCCTCCCCCTCCTAGCTCGCATCGCAAGAAGGGCGCGCAAGGCGCAAGTCGGCTCTCTCCCGAGCTGCGGAGGCGGCCGGCTGCAGCGGGCCGGCATGCTGGACAGAACCGGGGGCGCTGTCTGCGAGGGCGTGGGCCTCGGCAAGACAATGCCTGCCACCTGGCGGGGGGGGGTTGGCGCCTCTACACAGCGCTCCGTCGAGGCCGTGCGGTGATCCGCCGAGAGCAGAGAAGCATCCAGACGGAGAAAGAACATGACGAGGAGGAAGAAGAGGATAAAATGGGGGAGTAGTCGTACATTTCCAACACGACGCAACACCTAGATCCACGACGGCGGATCCAGGAATCTCAGCCCGAGGGGGTGGTGCTTAACAGGGAGGGGCGAGGACGAAACCAGCTTGCCATGAGGGAGAGGGGTCCCGAAGGACGGCCCCTGTACCCCAGGGAGTCCTTCCCTACGACCAGCGTCTGGCCATCGCTCGGACGTCCATTCCCTGTGTTTTTTGTCGGTTTCGTGCGTGGTTTTTTCGCGAAATGATCCTGGATGCTCCTCGATGGTCCTCGCCGAAGGAAAAATGCACACGTCCGAGCGATGCCAAGGCGTTTGATGCACACGTCCGAGCGATGCCAAGGCGTTTGATGCTGAGCCAGGACTGTCTTGGGCCCGAGACAGCCCCCTGGAGGCCGAAGACATAAACGGGACCTCAGGACCCCGTTCCCTCAGGACGTATATGGCGAAGAAGTCCCCCCAAGGAGGGGGCGAGGACGAATAAACGATGGGAGGAAAGAGGGGCTCCTCGAAAAGCGGCTGGTCACGTACCAGCAGGCGTGCGTGTGCGTTGGCGACAACCTTGGGCACCGTCTTGCGAGAGGGGGAGGGCAAAAGGGAAGAAGGACGGGCAGTGGGAGGGGGAAAACGAACGTACACTTTCCCCCCTGTGTCACCGCCGTGCTATCGCCGCCATCCTCTGGGCCTGGCGCATTGCCTGGCGCCGTGCAAACATCAAGTGTCATCGGACCGCCGAATGACAAGATCGACGTTACGTGCTCGATCCTGGAAGCTCTTGTCAACATCCGATCGTATCCTGTTGTGGCGTTAAGTGCCTTGTAGTGCCTTCGAATATCTTGTAGTGCCTTGTTTGTTCTAATGCCCTATCATGTCCTCGGCGTCTCTTAGTGGTTGCCGCGCTTGATGCGGGACGCACCATGTAGGGCCTGGTGGGAAGTAATTTCGCACATCTTCTCGGCGCCTTCCATTCGTTTGCGGCGGCGGTCCGCTTCCGCAATGGTTTGAGACCTCAGCCGCTGACGCAGCGGCGTCGTCCAGCAGGCGCGACACTTGATTGGTCGCTGCATGTGCGCAGGATCGCCCCCCTCCCTCCCCCTCTTGTCCCTCCTCTTGCTCCTGTTGCTGCTCTTATGTGTTTCTTCCTCCCCCCACTTCCGCCGCCGTCGCCCCCGCCGCCGACGTCCCCTCCCCCGCCCCCATCCCCCCTGTGCGCGCCGCAAGTTTTCTTGGGGAGCGGCCAGGCGAACCCGCGGGGCATGTCGGCGGCGGAGTTGGCTCGGCATGCTCTGGCCCTCCTGGGGCAGCCGCAGAGCTGTCTCGCGGACGGGGGCCCAGGAATCTCGCGGGCGATGGGGTGGGCGCGCAGCCCATGCCCGAGGCCGTGCCCAGGCTTCGCGGGGGCGGGCGTGGCCGCGTGGCGAGCGCGCCGCGCGTGCCAGGGGCGCCAGGCGCGACGAGAGCGCCAAGTGCGGTGCCTGGCGCGCTAGGTGCGCTAGATGTGCCAGGTGCGGCAAGTACGCCTCGTGCGACAAGTTCGTCGGGCGCCCGTGGCGCATTGCGCTGCCGCATGGGCCGGTGGCAATGTTGGGCGATCAGTTCGACCCCGACTACCCTCCGGAGTAGCTGCGCGGCAAGTACCCCGCTTCACCCATTCCCTTCCCGTTCCACTTTCCGCCGCCACCCCCCAATTCTCGTTTCTTCCCCAAAGATTAACTCCGCGAAGGCTGCACGCACGTGTGACTCCACATTGTCCCGCGAGCTTGGCTCCAACGAGCGTCGCGAGATTTCAGTTGTTCGTCACGAGAATGGCTCCACTTACCACGCTGAGGGCCCGACGTCGCGAGCATGCGCCTGCAACGATTCCAGATCACCGCCGAGAATTTCACATTCTTATCCTGGTGCCCTTCGTCGAATCAGCCGAGGCTGGTCCTGTGGGTACGTCCATGGGCGTTCCACCAGCACGGGCTTCCGAAGAAAGGTTTCACCGAAGGCACCTGTGCACCACCACCAGCACAAGGCCTGGCCAGTGCCGTCCAGCGCCTTTCGAGGGCGAGCAGACCCTCGTGGCTCGGACGGCCAGGAACCATCCACGGGCCCAGAAGCCCGTGCTGGTGGAACGCCCATGGACGTAGCCACAGGACCAGCCTCGGCTGATTCGACGAACGGCAAAATGGAAAGAAGGAACATTTCTCGGCGGTGATCTGGAATCGTTGCAGGCGCATGCTCGAGGCGTTGGGCCCTCAGCGTGGTAAGTGGAGCCAATCTCGTGACGAACAACTGACATCTCGCGACGCACGTTGGAGCCAAGCTCGCGGGACAATTTGGAGTCACACGTGCGTGCAGCCTTCGCGGAGTTAATCCTTGGGAAAAACGAGAATTGGGGGTGTGGCGGTGGAAAGTGGAACGGGAAGGGAATGGGTGAAGCGGGGTACTTGCCGCGCAGCTGCTCCGGAGGGTAGTCGGGGTCGAACTGATCGCCCAACACTGCCACCGGCCCATGCGGCAGCGCAATGCGCCACGGGCGCCCGACGAACTTGTCGCACGAGGCGTACTTGCCGCACCTGGCACATCTAGCGCACCTAGCGCGCCAGGCACCGCACTTGGCGCTCTCGTCGCGCCTGGCGCCCCTGGCACGCGCGGCGCGCTTGCCACGCGGCCACGCCCGCCCCAACGAAGCCTGGGCACGGCCTCGGGCATGGGCTGCGCGCCCACCTCATCGCCCGCGAGCTCCTGGGCCCCCGTCCGCGAGACAGCTCTGCGGCTGCCCCAGGAGGGCCAGAGCATGCCGAGCCAACTCCGCCGCCGACATGCCCCGCGGGTTCGCCTGGCCGCTCCCCAAGAAAACTTGCGGCGCGCACAGGGGGGATGGGGGCGGGGGCGGAGACGGCGGCGGCGGAAGTGCGGGGATGGGGGGGGAAGAAACGGATAAAGACCAGCAGCAGGAGCAAGAGGAGGGACAAGAGGGGGAGGGGGGCGATCCCGCGCACGTGCAGCGACCACTCAAGTGCCGTGCCTGCTGGAGGACGCCGCGGCGTCAGCGGCTGAGGCCACAAACCACTGTGGAACTGGACCGCCGCCGCAAGCTAATGGAAGGCGCCGAGAAGATGTGCGAAACTCCCTCCCACCAGGCCCTACAGGGTGAGTCCCGCATCAAGCGCGGCAATCGCTGAGAGCCGCAAAATGTCATGATAGGGCATTATAGAGGGCACCGAAAGACACCAGAAGGCACTCCGAGGCACAACAAACACGAAGGTATGTCACAAAGAGGGTCGAGTCGGATCGGGCCGGCCAGAGTCGACACCGACTCACATCGATCGGATCGAAAGCCAGACATGCGACGTCCTGAATTCCTGTTTCAATGCGGAATCCCCGAGAATTCCGATCTCTTCCCCGGGCCAATTTTTCACCACCAATCGTCTTCTGACGTTCCCGGGGCCGAGGACTCCAGGAGGCCGAACACGGCCAGAGACCTTCCGTCGTGACTTTGTTGCGGCGCGCTCTTGCGAGGTGGCGGCGTCCAGACCTCCGTGCGCTGTTCCGATGGCCCGCTTGCCGTCGGCGGCTGTGCGGATTCCCCTCCCCAGACATGCGCGCGCCGTGGCAAAAATCACGACAAAGGTATTGGGCAGATTTCGTCCGCTGGGGGCCCTCGCCAAGGCCTCTGGGACCGTAAGACAACTCGGGATGAACGACTGGCCCTGGGGAAAGGGCCTGGACTTCCGAGGGGGGGGGGGACCCAATATTGAGTAAATCAGGGCGTCGCGTATGCCTGGGCCAGATGCCGGAGTTGAATCTTTACTCACACAAGGCGTTTGCGATTCGGGGCCGGGGGCCTTCGCATGTCGATCTGGCCGGAGATTGAATGCCGCAGCAAGATGACGAGGCCCGCGAGTTCTTTCGATGTTGGGATTGTTCCGCGACGTCGGATCTCAAGGTCTGGCGGTGTCAACTGGCAATGGCCCCATCCGGGAGCGGGGTGGCCCAGACCGCCAACCGCGTGAGCTTGTGCAGCCCCTAGAGCTCTGGGCCCCTCCCCCGGGGATCGGCGTTTGATCGGGAGTCGTTTCTGGACGGCCCCGGCAAGGGTTCCCGGAAGCCGAAAACGACTGAGCCCAACTCGTAGCGGTGACATTTTCGGCAACGAACTTGTAGAAACTTGTAGGATATTGCTGGACAGTGTCCTCGATGCTTGGCTGGACCCTCGAGCCTCGCACCTCGATGCCGACGCGGACAACCCTCGAGGCCCGAGGCCGCTCCACAGACCTGGGACGTCGTGATTTTCGCGGCAACGTTTCCTCCTGGTCGCCAGGCGCCAGAAGGACCCGATTCTTCGAAATGTCGATGGCAAGGCCGGCAATCCGCCGACCACCTGTGGGTCTCTAGGCGTGTGAGATTCCCCCCGCCCCCCCCCATAAGCCCCTCCCTAGGACCCCAAACCGGCAATTCGACCCCCCCCCCTTCGCCCGGCACGACCCACCGCCGAACGCGCCATGGGGGAACAGAGGGCCCCAAAACGGACCAAGAGGGCACCAAAACGCCTCCCTGACCATCCAACAGGGCGGCGAGTCGCCGAAATATCCTGCCAAGACGCCCACGATGGCTTCCAGACATCCTCCGAAGCTCCCAAGACGACCCAAGAGGCCCCCAAGAGGCGTCCTAAGCGAGCCCCATGAAGCAGAAATCGTCCCATTCCCTTCGTAAAACGTTCATCTCTACCATGTTGGCCTTTTGCGGTTTCGCCACGTCCGACACGGGCCATGGAACCTTCCATATCCTCACAGGACGGCCTCGGCAACTGCCGAGTGAGGTCCAAGAGGGCCCGAAGACGGCCCAAGAAGCGCCCAAAACGGCCCACGAGTGCCTCCAGACGGCTCCAAGAGGGAGCCGGGTGGGCAACTTCTTGGTCCATTGGCTCCGAGATTTCTTCATCCTGCTGCAAGAACCTCCCAAGAGGGCCCCAGGGAGCCCCAAGGGAGGCCCAAACGGTCCCCGACAGGCTCCCAGACAACCCCCAAGAGGCCCATACACTACCTCCAAGACGCCCCCGTGACGCCTCAAGACCAGATCGTGACTTCTCCTCCCCCTCCTCCTCCTCCTCTGATTTGACTCCCCTTCCGTCTCGCCCGCATCTTTCCCCTGCTCCTCCTCCTCCTCCGCTTTCACCTTCTTTGCGTTTCTCTTTTCATCGGCTTCGTCCTCCCCCTCGCCAGCACCCCCGCTGCTCCTACTTCTGCGGGCCATGGCACGGGCGCCCAACTGACATCAGTTGCATGCCGTGCATTTCAAGGTGCCCTTCTTCTCGTCACGCGCGACATGGCTCGCGTCCACGGGGAAAGCCGACTTCGGCAATTTCCTCTGGCACTTGCCACTGCACTGAAAGGACTGCCAACTGCGTGACGTGAGCCCTCCAAACACCGAACTGCACAATCAAAACCTTGAACTCGGTTAAAGGGTCGGCGGATGTGGCGTAAGAGAATAAGAGTCATCAAGCCTTCGCCCGCACACACGTGACCCTGAGACGGTAGGGCCCACCTCCTAGCGGTTTGGCCCCCAAACCCAGGACAGGCTCTTCACGCTGACCCGGGCCTGGCGAGGCGGCCCGGCCGCCGAAGGTGGCGAAACTAGCTTCCGTCGTGATCCTCGTGACGAGATCGGAGGTCTCCCGAGGTTTTTTGCTGGGGCGGACGGCAAGCAAAGGGGGGGATAACAAAGGGAAAGTTGTTCAACCAACGGCACGCGGCTGGCTTTCCCGGCGCCTCCCGGCGCAAGAGGCGCACAGCGCCAGGCGGCAGGGCCGCAATCGACAGCCAGCACCAGATGTCGTGCCCCCACTCCCCCCTTCCCTCAGACCTCCGACGTAGTTATTTTCCGTTTCTGTTTTGCAGTGTGTGAGCCCAAGAGGGTGCAGACCAGTTCCCCAGAACCGGAATCCCACCCCGAATCGTTGTTTGACGGTCCCGGGTCCCAGTGAAGGCCCCTGGATGCCGTAAATGGGCGAAACTCTCCGCCGCGCTCTGTGTTCACGACGCGATGAGGCGGGGGCCACTCCTGGGGGGATATACGAAGGCTCAGGATCTCTTCCGGGAGCTCTAGAAGTATCCGGCGGCTCTGGCTTTCTGGAGCCCGCGCGGAACGGCAGGACATCCGGGCCATCCCGGAGACCTCCGAGGTCTTGGGACGCATCGCGGCCTTCTGCTACCCTGGCCAGCCCCGGAAGCGGAGGAGAAGGCGCGCGGTCGTGTGGAGGAGGAGGAGGAGGAGGAGGAGGAGGAGGAGGAGGAGGAGGAGGCGGGGGAGGAGGAGGAGGGGGAAGGGGGGAGGAGGGGGAAGAAGGGGGGAGGAGAAGGCGCGCGGTCGTGTGGAGCCAGCGCCGGGGCCCAACGCTGCCGTCGGCTCGCCACCGCGCTGCTCCGCGTTCCGCCCCGCGCACCTCTTCCTCTTCCCGCTCCTCGTCGTCCCGCTCCGCGTCGTCTTCGTCGTCGACCTCCTCCTCGGAGCCTCGAGGATACGCCTTCTCGAACTGGGTCTGGATCCTTCGTCGGGGACGAAGCAAAAAGGGGGGTGGGGGAGGGCTTCGGCATGCTTTGTTCTGACTCGTGGCAACACTTTCGAGGGGGGTCCAAGAATTGCTCCTGCTCCTGATCCTGCTCCTCCTGATTCCCGATGGCTGAGGGGATCTTCGATCGCAGCCAACCTCCTCCTCCTCCTCCTTCTCCTCCTCTTCCTCCTCCTCCTCCTCGTCCTCATCCCCAACAGTCCAAGCGTGCGAACAAGGCAAACAGCAGCAAACGGCCCTGGCACCGCCCTGCGAGACGCGGGAGGTGAAGCTGGAGCCCGAGGTCGTTAGAAACAGTTCTGGCAGCAGCGCGTGCGAGGAGGGCGCCAAGTGTCAGCAGTCTCTTTCTCTACTTGGCGAGATATGGAGGCGAAGCCGCAGCCAGACGTCATCCGCTACAGCGCAAGGGGCAGCGCGTGCCAAAATGCCGCGCATGGGTCGCACTCTCCGTCGCTACTCAGCGAGATGGGGAAGGCGAAGCCCGATACCAGCTACTGCGCTGGAGTCAGGGGGTGCGAAAAAGGCAAACTCTGACAGGAGGATTCGACACTGCTCTGCTAGAAGCGGTCGGCGAAGCTGGAGCCTGAGGTCGTCAGAACAGAGCTGGGATCAACACGTACGAGAAGAGTGGAAACTGGCAACGGTCTCCGTCGTTACTCAGCAAGATCAGCTACAGCGCTGAGAGCAGCGCGTGCGAGAACGCCGAGCAGGGGCAGCAATCTTTGTCGCCACTCAGCGAGATGGGGAAGGCAAAACTAGAGCCCAATGTCAACTACATCACTAAGATCCGGCCGTGCGAGAAGTGCGGAACGCCAATCATCAGCTACAATGTTGGGGTTCGCTCGTGCGTGAAATTTCAACGGGAACAAGGCTTGCAAGACAGGCCAGGGGGACGAAAAGCTCTGTCGGCACTCACCTCCAGCAGAGCTCTCGTGAGGCCGCCCCACGTCGACCAGGATAGGCCTGGGGAAGGGGGGCGCCCCCTTTCGTCGCTTGTGCTCTGATGCTTACAGGGCAATTGATCAGGCAAGCAATTTCCTCCCCCCTCCTCCTCCTCCTCCCTCCTCCTCCTCCTCCTCCTCCTCCTCCTCCTCCTCCTCCTCCTCCTCCTCCTCCTCCTCCTCCTCCTCCTCCCCCACCCGGCGAACCTCGCCTGCCCGCCCGTCTGCCGCGCGCGGGCGGCCGGCCGGCGCCGAGGCGCGGGCGCTGAGAGCGTGGCAATCCATCCGGGGCACCTGGCGGCGCTGCCGCAGCGCGTCCTCCGTCGCTGCGTCGCCGTCCTCTGGCTCGCCGCTCGCCGCCGCCGCTCGCCGCTCGCCGCTGCCCGTCTTCGCTCGCCGCTCGGCGCCGCCCGTCGCCGCCGTCGTGGGTCGCTCGCCGCCCGTCGCCACCACCGCTCGTAGCCGCCGCCCGTCGTCGTCGCCGCTCGTCGTCGCCGTCCGTCGTCGTCGCCTCCCGCCGATCGTTCGAGGTTCCAGGCCTCTGCGCATGACTAGACTTCCTTAGGCCTCTTGAAGAATTCTCGTGGCTACGGCCAGGCCCGCCGCGAAACACTGGCCAGAACGTCGTCGCCGTCGTCGTCGTCATCGCCGCCGCCGCCCCCACGACGACGCCGCCGTCCTCGTCGTCGTCGTCGTCGTCGTCGTCGTCTTCGTCGTCGTCGTCGTCGTCTTCGTCGTCGTCGTCGTTGCCGATCGTTCGAGGTTTCAGGCCTTCGCGTGTTATTCGCCTCGAAACACTGGCCTGCACATATCCCAAGAGGCCGAGGGGCTTGTCGTCGTCATCGAGGTTCGACACACATGGCTTGAACCACACCCTCCGAGAACCATCCGACTACCTTTTGGAAAAAACACGGAGACATATCCGCGACGTAAGACGAGGGACAAATATGGACACATTCGAATGAAGAAGATTCGGGAATCTCCGAGAGCCTGCATGCCTGGAGGATGCATCACTGCGTATCGGGAGCCGCAGCCGCCGACCCTGTCGGCGAGAGGCTGTCCCCGTCGTCGTCGTCGTCGTCGTCGTCGTCGTCGTCGCCGCTTCCCCTCCTTCCCCGAAGAGGCTATTGATGCTGTTCCGTTTGACTCGTCGTCGTCGTCGTCATCGCTGTCGCCGTCGCTGTCGTCGTCGCCGCTTCCTCCCCCCCGTTTCCTCGGTCCTCCTCAAGCGCGCCAGCCAAAGCGAAAGCGAAATGCCAAAGCAAAAACGAAATTCAACAACGTCCTTCCCTTTCATCCCTTCCCTGCCAAGGGGGGGGTCCTAGGGGGTCCCGGGGGGGTCTCAGGGGGCTCCCGGGTCAGAATACCCCATCCCCCCAGGGGGCGGGGGCTGGCCTCAAGAAAGCCAGCAGACGAGCCAAGAGTACCCCTGGAGGCGTCCAAGACCTTCCAAGAGGACCACGAATCGCCGAACGATCGGTATAAGACGTTTGGACAGCCTCCAGACGGCCCTAGAAGCCTGCAAGACGCCCCAAGAGACATTGAGGAGTACTCCCAAGAGGGTCCCAAGTGGAAAAAACATTGATTTACCGTTGGTTTTTCGAGCGTTTCGACGTTCTCGCCTCTTCCGCTTCCCGACGCTCCAAGACGGCTCCCAGATCGCCCCAAGACGGCCCAAGAAGGCTCCATGAGGGCCCACAGGGTACAAAAACGGCCCAAGAGGGCCCAATATTGCTCCAAGATGGTGCCCAGACGAGGGACCAGAACTGACATTTCGAGCCGTCGGCCCTGAGAGGCTCCCAGGAGGAACCAAGAGGCCCCCCAAAGGCACCCAACCCAAGAGGCCCCATGAGGCCCCCAAGAGGCCCCCAGGAAGCCCCGAGAGGCCCCCAAGAGGTTCCCATGAGGCCCCCAGGAGGCCCCCAGGAAGCCCCGAGAGGCCCCCAAGAGGCTCCCAAGAGGCCCCCAAGAGGCGTTCCCAAGAGGCCCCTCAACTGTCCCCCAGAGGCCCCCAAGAAAGCTTCGAAGGGACCCCAAGAAGCATCCATGAGGACTCTGACCCATGTCAGCCTCGTCGTCGTCGCCGCCGCCGCCGCCGTTATCGTCGTTCCCCTTCAGGGTCGGCGGCACTGGCCATCAGGCCTTCGCAATATTGAAAGCACTGTTCGCAATAGTTATTGAAACCGCTGGTCGTAGCTAGTGTATCCAATGTTAGTAGTTACTGAAACCAGTGCCCGTAGTTATTGCAATCAATATCTGTACTTACTGAAACCAGTGTTCGTTGTCATTGAAACCTGCATTCGTAAGTAATTGAAACCGGCAACGACCCCAAACCCCCGACGTCGGGACTTTCTCATGCTCATACCTGATGTGGACCCCCAGCGGTCTGGACCTCTTTTTTGGTACCGGTCTGTCATCATGAAACATTTCTTGACGGCTCACGAGAGGCCCCCGGACACCCAAACTGAAGAAAAGCCTTCCGCTACGAGGACGAAGGCTCGCGCCTTGGCGCCGTGCGAGCGGAGCAGGGCGTGCGACTCGGGGCGATTCTGAACGCGCCTGCGCGCGACAGCGCCCCGCGAGGGACGAGAAGACGCTGGTGCTGCGGAGCTGCACCTGCGGACGCTGGGAGGGGTCAGGAGGAGGAGGAGGAGGCGGGGGAGGAGGAGGAGGAGGAGGAGGCGGAGGAGGAGGAGGAGGCGAGGGAGGAGGAGGAGGAGGAGGAGGAGAGGAGGAGGAGGAGGAGGAGGAGGAGGAGGCGGGGGAGGAGGAGGAGGAGGAGGAAGAAGAATGGATAGAGGGAAGGAGGAAGGAAGAGAGGGAGGTGTTTGGAAGCGTATGCTGGGAGGTCTTCGCAAAAACGACCAAAGGCTATTGAGGCCGGTCTAGAAATGGCCCGATTAAAGAGCCATGAAACAGAACTTGGCCAGATTGCCCCCGATAATAAACCTGACTATGCTAAACTCAGCAGCTCTCAACGGAAGTACACGGGAGTCTATCAAATCAGGCCCACCTTCTTCGACTACGGATATATCAGCGCCGAAGGCTGAATTCAACATCCCAGGAGTTTCATCCTGATGTGAGTGGGCGACCGAGGAATAGGCAGAGAGGGAGGGACGAGGAGGAGGAGGATGAGGCGACGAGAAAGAGACTCAGGAGGGTCTGGGTTCGATGGATGTGCTGCTGCGTTTGTCCATGTTTGGGGGCCTCTGGGGGGCCTCTTCGTCGCCACGGCTGGGTTCGTTTCGAAATTCTTCTCAAAATGCCCCACTGGAGAGCTCCTGGGATAGATTTCCACAATCGGTGCCCATCGGGGGAAGAGGATGATAAGAGGGAGGGGGAGGACCTAGAACCCCGACGTCGCGATTCTTGTCTTAGGTCGGGCGTGTCCCCGTACAGGCGGATTTTGGAGGAAAAATAAGAAATTGTCGAAACATGCCCAACAATAATCAAACATAGAAGGAAGATCGTCTCCAGACTAATTTTGTTTAACCATTTTTGAATTTTTCTCCTGTAGAGGGACATGCCCGACTTAATTAATTCTTGTCGCAACGTGGCGCCCCCTGGGGCCTCCACCCCTTGGCCGGGGCTGGCCTCGGCTTCCGAGCTATTATTTGGCCGCCCTGGGGCACAGCAGGGGGCGCCTTCCGCGAGTCGAAAGGGTCAGCGATGCTTCCTTCACAATCTGCGGTAATCGTTTTCAATGCTCCCTCGTATCTACCCCACACCTCTCCAGCAGGAGGAAAAAGGGAGGAGGAGGGAGGAAGAGGACGATGTCCGAGTATTTCGGCTCAGTGTGTGCATACAGATGTATAATGTATATATAATAAATAAATAAACAAGACTGCTTTGGAATTTCGCGCCATGCACCTTGGTCCTTGAAATGTGGTATGCTGGCGGAATGACAGGAATGTCAAACCGACAATTTAGCGATAACTCCTTGTTGCCTTTTCTGGCATCACCGTTATAATAATGTTATTCGTTATCCTTCCTCACTGCTTCTTTTTCCTCTTTCTCGCCCTACCCTGCGCATTCACTTCATCCTCCTCAGCCGTTTTTGCGGATGCCCCTCGAAACCAGGACCGTGAAAACCGTCCAGGCCTTCCGAAACATGGCGGCTCCCCAACGTAAGGGATGTCCACCGGGCCTTCCGCAACATGGTGGCTCCCCAGCGTAGGACCTTCCGCAACATGGTGGTTCTCCAATGTCGAAGGTTTCTCGCCGGGCCTTCCGCAACATCGTGGGTTCCCACCGTAGGAGACTCTTCGCCGGGCCTTCCGCAATACGGCAGCGTCCCAACGTGGGGGGGCTTGACGCTGGGCCTCCGCAACATGGTGGCTCCCCTCGCCGGGCCTTCCGCAACATGGTGGCGTCCCAGCACAGGGGGGGCTGTCCGCCAGGCCTTCCGCAGCACAGTGGCTCCCCAACGCATGGGGCTGGCCGCCTACGTCGTTGATGGTTTAGGGTCTCAGGGTCTTTGGGCCTTAGGGCCTTGGGGTTTTAGTGCCTGGGGGTCTTAGGGACTTGGGGTCGGTCTTAGGGTCTTAGGGTCTTAGGGGACTACGCCTTTTCGGGTCTTAGGGTCAGAGGGCGCGAGGTCGTAGGGCCGTAGAGCCTTAGGGCCTTAGGGCCTAAGGGCCTGGGCCTTAGAGCCTTTGGGCCTCAGGGTCTCAGCGTCGAGGCCCTAAGGGTCTCGTGAGTCTTAGGGTCTCATGCCCTGAATCTTCGGGTCTTCGCGTCTTAGGGTCTTGAGGTCTCCGGGTCTTAGGGTCTGCGGGGGCGTAGCGACTTAGGGTCTTGAGGACTTCGGGTCGTAAGGTATGAGTGCCTTGGGGCCTCAGGGTCTTAGGGTCGTATTTAAGGACTTAGAATATTAGGGTCTCGGGGCCCTAGTGTCTTTGGGTATTAGGGCCTTGGGGTCTTAGGGTCTTAAGGTCTGAGGGCCTTAGGGTCTTAAAGTCTTATGGTCTTAGGGCCCTAACGTCTTAGGGTCTTTGGGTGTTAGCGTCTGAGGGTCTTAGGGCCTTCGGGTGTCTGGGTCTTCGGGTCGTCGGCTACTCGGGCTTAGGGTCTTAAGGTCGTAGGGCCTTAGGGTCTTAGGGCATTAGCGTCTTAGCGCCATTGGGCCTTAGGGTCTTGGGGTCGCAAGGTCTTAGGGTCTTAGGGTCTTCGGGCCTTGGGGCTATAGGGTCTTAGGGTCCTAAGGGTTCTAGGGCCATAAGGTCGTAGGGTCTTCGGGCTTTATGGTCGTCGGGTATTAGGGACTTTGTGTCTTAAGACCTTAGGGTCATACAAGGTCTGTTTTTATGGCCCTAGGGCCTTGGGGTCTAAAGGTCTTAGGGTCTTATGGTCTTAGGGCCGTATGGCTCTAGGGTCTTACGGCCTTCGGGTCTTCGGGTTCTAGGGCCTTCAGGTCTTAGGGTCTCGGGGTCTTCGGGTCGGCGGGTCTGAGGGTACTAGGGCATTCGGGTCTTCGAATCCAAAGGCCTTAGGGCCTTAGGGCCGTAAGGCCTTAGGGCCTGGGGGGCTGAAGGCCTGGGGTCATGAAGACCTTAGGGTGGCCATGTTATTTTTTTTTTTTGGTCTTTCTTCTCTTAACACTGTCCAGCTGCCTGCGCGATGCAAGCGCGCGTGCCGCCCCAGACGAGGTCAACTTTTTCCCTGGACCACTGCGCAGTCCCTCGCACAGCATCCGTCAATTTCCCACGACTCCAGTCGGATGTGTTAAATTCATGTGCAACGAGGACTGAATTTGTTGCAGTATATCCCAAACCATTGTCAAGACGCTCGAGCGAGACTCGCCAATCTGAGTTGGGGGTCAGGTACTGTAGTGGAACTCCTGAGTAGTAGCAACGACCTTGCTGCTGCCATAATTTGTCCAATAAAATATCCAAAGTCAAATCGAAACCATGTCCTCGCTTACGGGATCTGTTCCGGGCTCCGCGCAGCAAGCACACCATGTTGCCTCGGAGTGTGCGGTTATATTTGAAGTGGTATGCTCGTTTGCAACCAGTGCAGTGGCGGGAGATGTCGGTGCAGGGCTGCATGCCTTGCCTTTCAGCGCACTGGTCACACAAAAAATGTGATGCGTACACTTGCGCCCCCCACATAGCTCGACCCACATGCCGCCGGCCAAGACGTAGAGAGCGCGCCTCGTCAATCAGCCTTTCCAGCCTCGCACAATCAACGCTAAGGTCCCGCAGCGTGAACACGTCAGACACTTTCTGTCTTGACCACTGCGCTGTACCAGAGACTTTGTGAACACCCGCTTTGTTGCGGCTCGCATCCCCAGAGTTGAACTCGGCTGCAATGAGCACGCAATTGCTCACAGTGTATCCTTCGAAATTGTCCACGCGTTCCAGAGACATTCGCCAATGGGAGTTTGGGAGGCAGCATTCCATCGGAATCCCACAGTAGAAACAACGGCCTGACTGATTGGACAACATGAGCAACACGTCTTCGAAGGAAATGTTGAAATCCAAGCCCCTGGCCCTAGAGGACGCCCTGGCAGTTGACACCAATCCACAGACGGTGCCGCGCAGTGTATGTCTCCATTGCCGAGCCATTCCGGAGGCACACGTCTTGCAATACGACCTTTTTCCATCTTTTCGGCTTCGGCAATTGTGAAATTGGCTGGGCGCCTTGTGCAAACCACACCTTGAGCATCTCTTATGCCCGAGCTCTGCAGGCGTCGGGTCGACGGCAGTGCTGACGCCCTTGGGTCGCCGTGATCTTGGAGGCGGGGCGCGGGCCATTGCGATCTGCTCCTGCGATATGCGCGTGCACGTCAGAGCGCATATCTTTGACTGCGCTTCAAACTCCTGCCTGGCTGGTCCTGGCGAGACGAAGCAGAAACGCAACAGACGGAGGACAGGGAGGCCCGGGGGTGCTCGACGAATGCAGGGGGCCACTGCGCGCGCAACTCGGCCAATCGTGATGGGCGGCGGGAGCACCATGCAAACTCCACGATGCTGGGTCCAATGCAGCTAGAGCCCAACCTGTCTTGAGGCAAAGTGGCTTGAGCCAAAATGGCTACGGATTAGGGTGGCCATGGGGTCTTGGGGTCTCAAGGTCATCGGGCCTTAGGGCCGTAGGATCTGAAGGGCCATAGGGTCTGAAGGGCCTTAGGGTCTGAAGGGTCTTCGGGCCATAGGGTCTGAGGGCCTTAGGGTCTTCGGGTCGTCGGGTCTTCGGGAAGACGGGTCCTCGGGTCGTAGGTTCTAAGGGCCTGAGTGTCTGAGGGTCTTGCGTTCCCAGGGTCTGGGGGCCATAGCGCCCTAGGGTCCTAGGGTCTTAGGGTCTTCGGGTCCTAGTGTCGTAAGAGATTCGGGTCTGATCTCTCGGGTCTCTCGGGTCTGCTGGTCTTAGGGTCTTCGGGGGTTTAGGGTCTTGGGGTCTTAGGGGTCATAGGGGTCATAGGGGTCTTCGGGTCTCAGGGTCTAAGCACCATTTGCCTTAAGGCCCTAGGTCCTGAGGGACCTGGGGTCTTGGAGCCTTAGGGTCTTATGGCTTTCAGGTTTAAGGGACTGAGGGTCTTAGCGCCTCAGGGTCTTAGGGTCTTCGGGTCTTCGGGTCTTCGGATCTTCGGGTCTGCGGTTCTTCGGGTCCTCGGATCTTCGGGACTGCGGGTCTTCGGGTCTTCGGGGTATCGGGTCTTCGGGTCTCTCGGGTCTCTCGAGTCTTCGGGTCTGAGAGTCTTCGGGTGTGATGGTCTTAGGATCTTCGAATATTCGGGTCTTTGGGTATCAGGGTCTTGGGGTCTTATGGTCTTAGGGCCTGAGGGTCTTAGTGTATTCGGGTCTCTGGTTCTCAAATTCTTAAGGCTTTAGGGTTGTACGGCTTCGGGGTGTTATGGTCTTAGGCTCTTAGGGTCCTCGGGTATTCAGGGCTTGTGGCCTTCGGGTATTCGGGCCTTCGTGTCTTAGGGTCTTTGTGTCTGAATGCCTTAGGGTTTTAGGGTTTTCGTGTCTTATCGTCTTAAGGTCTTAGGGTCGTAGGGTCTGAGGGACTTAGGGTCTGCTGGTCGTAGGGTCTTCGGGCATTCGGGTGTTAGGGTCTTAGGGTCTACTGGCCTTCGGGTCTTAGGGTGTTCGAGTCTATGGGTCTGAGGATCTGAGGGTCTATGGGGTTCGGGTTTATGCAAGGTTTGGTGTTTAGGGCTTACCATCCAAGTCTTCCGCAACACGCACACGCTCCTTCCCAAAACATCCGGGCCCAACACGGAGCCGGGCCTTACAGAAACGGCCAGACATTCCGCAACTCGGAGCCGGGCCTTCCCATACCGTCCGGGCCTTCCGCAACACACTGCTGGGCCTTCCCAAACCGCCCGGGCATTCCGCAACACGGGAACGGGCCTTCCGCAACAGTCCAGGCCTTCGGCAACACAAGAACGGGCCTTCCCAAACCGTCCGGGCCTTCCGCAACACACGGCTGGGCCTTCCCAAACCGTCCGGGCCTTCCGCAACACGGGACAGGGCCTTTAAAAACCATCCGGGCCTTCAGCAACATGGGCTTCTCGATGTTTTTCGAAAGACCGCTTGGTTTTCTAAACGCTCCAACTGGAGGCTCCTCTGTGGAGATCCTATGGGAGCCTCACGGCAATTTTTCAGGCTGTCTTAACGCCTTCTGGAAGCCTCCTAGGCGTCTTCTGGGGGCCTCTGGGGGCTTCCTCGGGCCACCCTGCCTGCAATCGCGGTCTCCCTGAACGACCGGGTCACGATTTGGAATGCTTCGGAGGGCGTCTTGGAGCCATCTTGGTCCGTCATAGGACTCTGTTGGGCCATCTTGGAACCCTGTTGTGCCGTCTTGGGGCTCTCTTAGACTGCCTTGAAGCCCTTTCGGATGATTGTGGGGCGATTTTCGAGCCTCCCAGGCGGCTTTGGACGCGCCTTGGAGCGTCGGGAAGCCGAAAAGAGGAGAACCCCCAAATTCATCAAAATCAAACTAAAATCAATGATTTTTGTCTCTTGGGGCCTTCTTGGGAGTGCTCTTGGAGGCCTCTTGGGACGTTTTGGAGCGATCTTTGAAGGTATGCCGGCTTCTTTGGGGTCGTGGTGAGCCGTCTTGAGGCTCTTTCGGTCGTTTCGGGAGCGCGCCGGAACGCCTGCGCCTGGAGCCCTCTGGGGCCGTCTTCGGGCTCTCGTGGGGTTCTCTCGGGTCGTCTTGAGGGTTGCCTGGCCCAGGGTGGGCCAAATTCGTTAGGTGTGTGTGTGTGTATGTGTGTGTGTGTGTGTGTGTGTGTGCGGTGCGCCTTTTTTTTTCCGGGCCCCCCGGCCCTGCACAAATATATCAATACTGATATATAGACGTAGTATATATATAGAGAGAGAGAGTAAGAGACAGAGAGGAGAAAACAAAAAAAGAGGGAGAGAAAGATCGAGAGAAGCAAACAAGCGAGAGAGAGAGAGAGATGGGGGGAGAGAAAGAGAGAGAGAGAGAGACAGAGACAGAGACATGCATGACTGTTTTAAAGACATACAATTGCATGTGTCGGATGCGCCAGCGAACATTGGGTCGCAGGCAGGCAGATACCCCAAGAAAAAACTATGAGCCTTTGGTTGCCCGCCGTGCGCGCCTTTGCGTAGGCGTTCAGCACCTGCGCTATGTCCTGCGCGAGAAGAATGCAATCAGTGGCCAACGGATTTGGCGATCGCAAAACATGCAATGCAGCACGAGAGGCCATCAACAGACCATCAACAAGAGAGCGCCGGATCCTCGTGACGATGGACGAGCCTCGCGAGCGTATAGCAAAACCATGAGCAGATGAGATCGTGGCCATAAACATCCTCTGGCGACGGTAACGATGAAGTCGAATGCTTTTTGTTCCACCGCCTGGCCTGCCCACAGACCGGAACAGTGCGGAAGCGGGCCCCGGCATATGGAGAATGAGGAGGAGGAGGAGGAGACACAGTCTGAGCGGAAGAATCAGAGGTTCCAGGCAACGCCACGCAACAGGAGAAAACTCTTCCTCTCCGTGGACGTGTTTCTGACGCCGAAACGGATGGGTACAGTATGTCACAGGTCCGTTGCGTTTTTGTGGCAGGGGCCCCATACCTCACGACCCCATCCCAAAAGGCGGGGGCTTGCATCGGGGATCTTTTCTTGACGGTGCGAGGGCCTTCAGGAGTGACCTTTGCAGGCCACAAATGGCGAAGGACCGACTGACAATGATCACAAACTGCATATACGTAGAAACTTCCGGCACTCCGCGCGGGTTCCTGGGATCGACGCGCCCGGAGCGCGCCAGGGCCGGCGCCAAAGGCGCCGCCAGGGGGATCCAGCGCCAACCGAGGAACTTCCGCGCGGACCTCCGACACTCTTGGGCGCCCGAGTTGTCCGGGGTAACTCGGGTCCGGGGTAACTCGGGCTTGGATTCCCGAAAAAGAAACCCGAGTTAGCCCTGACCCGAGTTACCCCTGATGATTCGGACCTCCGACACTCTGTGTTCCTCGCAGCGTGCTCCGCCACGCACAAGGGGGGACCCGGGGCAGGAGGGACCTCCTTGGCGCGCGGCTTTTTCGGTGGCCGCGAGGGTGCCAGACTTCTGTCGGGCGTGTCCCCCTACAGGGGGATTTTCCACGAAACATAAAACATACACCAAACATGCACCCAAAAAGGCCAAGACATACTCAAAAAATAGTCCCCAGACTATGTTTGGAATATTTTTTTGACTAGTTTTGGAATCTGTTTTATTCGTCGTCGAGGATCCCCCTGTAGGGGGACACGCCCGACTGAATGCCAAGACCCGGCCGCCAGACCCGACCGCAAAAATCCATTGCTAGGGGGGGACCCCTGCGGGCCCCTTCACCAGAGGTCCCTCCAGCGAGGGGGGCCACCCTTCCCCTGCGATCCGACGTGACGGACAACATCGCCACGTCGCGAAGCATCGCGACCGCAGCCCCTGGACCACACATCCTCCTGCGCCGATTTCTCCAAGCCTCATCGGTCTGGGAGGGCCCCCCAGGGCCCGAGAATCCGGGCGCCAGAAACCCGCTGTGAAAAAACATGGCGGCGCCCTGGACCGGAGGATATTCTGTGGGCGCCTTCGGAAACCCTGGACCCAGCAACGTTTTCATCTCTTCGGGGGCGCACCTTTGCCTTCCGCCAGCCTTCCGCCCGCCTTTCGCCGGCCTTCCGCCGGCGGAGGCGGCCTCGTGGTATACCTCCGCCGACCTCCCGCCGCGCGGAAGAGAGGACAGTTGACCAGCCTGGAACACATATCCCTAAAGCCCTCTGTTGGGCATCGCCTCCTCACGATGGCGCTCTTGTGGCTTTCCTCCGTTTCTGAGGGTGCATCCCTGAGATTGTCCTCTCCTTGCGGCGTGTCAGCCTAATAGGGATAGGGATGAAGTTCGAGGCTGGGGAACCGTCCCTTCGCTCCTCGAAGGCTCACGTGCAGCCGCTCGTCTCTCCCTCTCGAGGCTCCTCTCGCCACGCCGGGGCCCGCGGGGCACGGCGGGGCCCCGGGCGGCGGCCTCAGCCTCCGAGGCGCGCGCGCGGCGGCAGCAGCGCCACCGCCCGCGCCAGGCCCCTGTGCGCGCAGCTCGCCCTCCGCTCGGCCTCCTCCGCGCGGTGGGCGGAAGAGGCGCCCGCACGGCAGGCACCCCCCGGTACGACAGTGGCACCCGCTGCCGTGCCATGCTCGGAGCCCCCTCGGGCCCCTCCAAAACGCGGTGCGGCACGTCGCGGTTCGGCTCCAAGGGGCCCGAACACGAGGGCCGAGGATGGACAGCACCCGGGGAGACGCCAGCGCGGCACGGTGCCCAGCTGCACGCGAAGCCCTTTCGTAACCGCACCCGGGGGAGGGGTCGGTCAGGGCAGGACGTTTGCCGATCACTGGGGGAACACAGTGCGGCAAAACAGAACAGAAACTTTCGGAGGTCCGCGCGGATTTCTCAGATTGGCGCTGGAACCCCCGCTCCCTGGCGCGCGGGCTGCGCCAGGAGGCTGCGCCGGAGGCGCCAGCAGGGAGGCCCAGCGCTGGCCCAAGACATCCACGTGGACCTCCCAGCGTCTGTGCTTGGGGGTCGAGGTGGTGGCTCTGCTTCCCTTGATCCTCCAATCTCTGCCGCTCCAGCCGCAGCTCCCGCAGCTCCTCCTCGAGGCTGCCAGGGGTCGACCCTCCCGGGCCGCTTCCCTCGCTCGACGCCGAGCCCTCGCCGAGGTCGCGGCGCACCAGGGCCACGGCCCGCCCAGCCCGCCACAGCTCGTCCAGCCCCTCCGCGCCCAGCTGTGGCCCGCGCGGCGCCGCGTCCTTCTCCGGGCTCCCCCGCCACAGGTCCTGCAGCAGCAGCCGACCGCGGGCGCGGGCCCCCCTCTCCTCGGCCACCTCGCGGCGCAGCTCCCTCAGGCGGGCCTCGAGCGCCTCCCGCTCGGCGTCGTGCGGGCCGGCCCGCTGCGGCGAGGAGGCGGCCGTGGTGGCAGCCAGGTCCGCCGCCTCGCAGCCCTCCGCCCAGGGCGGGCCCGGCTCGCCGTGCTCGGGGCGCCTGGCGTGCCACCTGGCCCGCTGCACGCCGGGGGCGAGCTCGGCAGCCTCTGCGAGCCGCGCACTGACGCTGTCGGCGCCCTGGGCTGGGACCCTGACAGGGTCGACCCTAGCCGCGGGCCCAAGCAGGCCGCGCTCTGCAGCACCTGATGCCGCGAGCGCCTGCGGCTGCAGGGGCTCCTCCCGCCCGCCGCCGACGACGCTGGCCGCGCTTCGGCTGGGCCGTGCGCAGCCCGCGCCAGCAGCCCCGACGAGGGGCCCGCAGCTGGCCTCATTGGAGGCGACTGCGCGCGCCCTCAGCTCCCACAGCCCCCACAGCAGCGACCAGTCGTCACCCGGTGGGACGGGGCTGGCCTGGTGGCCGAGCTGCCCACGGGCCGGCGCCATGGACAGCAGCCTGCTCAGCAGCGCGCTGTCCCCGCACGCTGACGGCACATCGGCCGGCGCCGGCCGGCCTGCTCATGCTGGCTCGAGCTCCGCTGGGCCACTGAGCTCGCGCTCTACAGAGTGAACCCGCCGCGCTGATGGCGACCAACCGCGCGGCACTATGGCTGCGGGTTCCCCAGGGAGCTCAGCGTTTCGCCACCCTGCCGCCGCCGCCGCCGCGGCCGTGGGCTCCATCAGCTGGCCCGCGGGCCACGGCGGCAACCGCCGAGGGTGCCAGGGTCGGCCGCCGTGGCGCCGCGGGCCCTGGGTCGGCCGCCGTTGCACCGACGCGCAGAGCCGAAGGTCCGCGGGGACGGCGGATGCGGCCGCGGCGCTGGCGTGCGGCGAGGGCGGCGGGGCTGCCGCGTCGGCTGCCCCACCCGCGGCGGCGTGTCAACGACGGCCTCGCCGGCCCTGCAGGAGACGCCGCGCCACAGCGGGTGCCGGAGGTGCGCTCAGCGGAGGGCCCCCAGGCGCATCCCCGCTCGGACGAGGCCACACTGGCCCGCCCGCACGCTCGGGACGGCGCGCGCCACTGCGGCAGGCGCCGCCGCCGCGCGCCAGCCCCTGGACCTGCCGAGGCTTGAGCCCGCCCCACGCGACATGCTACTCAGCAGGGGCCAGTCGCCAAGGAGAGGATGCAGGGCATCCTGGGCAAAGCATCTCATCCTTACTGGGGGCTCCAATTTGATGGCATGGGCGACACAGGTTGCGACCATGGCCGCCACACCTGAGAACCTGCACTCAACGGATAGCAATCGTGTGCAGGGGGGGCAAGCGACACAACAACCGACCGTCCTGGCCGGCCGAGCGCAACCGACTGCGAAGCCGCCGAACCGACCGAAACGCGGGCATCTTTGCTCTCCCCCCCCTTTTCCCCAGCTGCGATGCGCATACAGGACAGTCTTTAATACATGGGATTTTTTAGATAGGACTTTCAATTCATGATTGATTCAGGTTGAATTTATGTATGAACCCATCGTCGTTTTTGTTACTGAATCCCTGCATGTTTAATAATGATCCGCACGCAGAGCATGTATTGAACAACGGCACTGTATGCCTGAGGAGCTCGAGCCGAACATCCTCCCCCCTGCTCCTCCCCTCGTCACCCCTCTCCCGAGCCCGCTCTGCGGCCCTCTCGCGGCAGTCCTCCCCTGCAGAGGGGCAGGCGGGGGGGGCCAGACCGTCGGCGTGGGCCACCTCGCGACGGCGGCTCCTACGCTTCTCTGCGTCACTCCTGGGCTCCTGGGCCTCTGGAGGCCCGTACCCGCTTGTCTGATGTTCACTGGGAACATCGTAGATCTTGCCGTCGCTCGGACGTCCATTTCCCGTGCATTTTTCGGTTTCGTGCGTGTTTTTTGGCTCGATGGTCCAGGATGGTCCTCCATGGTTCTCGCCCAGAAAAAATGCACACGTCCGAGCGATGCCAAGAGATGCAATGTTGTTCGAAGCCTTTTAGCCAGCTGTGATGTGGTTACTCTATGTTTCTCAATAGACGCGGGGGGGTACCCCCTCGGCGGGGGTCCTCATCGTCGGGCCGCGACG